TGCAAGTCTGGAAAATTGCTCCGCCCCACAGTCTTGCTGTGGCCAGCATGTGTGCAAACAGCCTGGCCTGGGAAATCAGCACCACATGGAACCGGTCCACCCCGAGGGCCTGCGCGCCCTCTCCCCCTCCTCTCCCCCTCCCCTCCCCCCCTTACACACTGGCAGCCCTAATGAGAGAGCCTTCACACAGGAATGTGCACGGCCCAGCCGGCCCCGGGCCCCAACAGCCTTGTAATTTGATGAATTGTCAACATCTGGGCCATAATTACTGGGCCCCGGACTGATAATCCCGGTAAGCCCCCTCATCCAGGGGCCCCTTCCTGGTGCCTTTCGAGGCCTCAGTCCCCTGGAAGGGCCATCACCGTTAATTACAACCAGAAAGCAAGACCGTCCCCCAGCTCCGGCTGGCCTGAGCATCGACTGCCGCCTGCATCCAAACACGACCGGTGTATTGACTGAGTTCAGTTCCTCAGCCAACTCGCTGCTGGGCCCGGAGGCTGGAGCCCAGGCCGGTGAGGGGACCTCCGCCAGCCCCTCTGCTGCACCTCCTCCCAGGCTCCGTTTTCCGGCCGAGGGGCACGGAGACACTCAGCTATGGAGCCGTATACCCCACGTCCCAGGCTTCCTCCACCGAGAAACCTCCTTACGGTTCTCCAAGGACGGCCCTGGGGAATGCTGCTCAGGAAACTCTCCACGGTGTGAGGACGTGAGCAGACGCACAGGCAGAGCTGGTGTCCCCCCGCTGGCCACTCGGAGGGCCACACGTCACTTCCCAGGGCCGGCGAAGACCCCAGTTCCGTGTCAGCTTGCCCGTGGGGTCTCCCGACTCCGGTTGGCCTGAGAGGAGGACTCAGAGGAAACTGGGGACTGACTGGGACCCGGGGAACTTGCCCTTAGAGCGGAGACAGGCATGACCTCCATCTTACAGATGAGGAAACTGAGGCTCACGGGTGCTCTGGTCCCTGTGGGAGGTAGGGGCTGCGCAGCAGGGGCGGGTGGGGGGGGACGGGGCGCTGCCTGCCTGACCTGCTTCTCGAGTGCAGCCCCGGGCCTTGTTCGCTTCTCAGGTCCTGAGGAGTCCTGGGCACCGCTGGCTGCACAGGGCCCGAGACGTGTGAAGCCGACGCAGGCATGTCCCTGCAGGGAGAGTGGGTGGTGAGGGTGCTCAGAGGGTGGACTGGCTCTCCCGGGGCCACACAGGAAGCAAGTCTGTCTGACCCAGCACTCCCTCTGGCAGGGGGGCAGGGTGGGAGAGGGTTCAGGTAGCCCTGCCCAGGGAGGATCTGCTTTGTGGGGGACACAGATGTACCAGGAATCCTGGAAGGAAGGAAAGGCCTGTGTGGCTCTGTCCCACCAGTCCCCCCAGACAGCCGTCTGTCATCCCTCTACCCTGTGCTGCGGGAGAGGGGGCGTTGCATGGGGAGTCGGGCTGATTTTAGTCCTTGGACAACCCACTCGCTCCGCTGCTTCATCTGTGAGACGGCGCCATGGGGCCAGCCTCCCAGGCTGCTGGGAGGGCAGGTGCCAGGCGGTCTGGCAGGCCTCGGGCAAGTCTAAAGGGAGGATTCGTGGAGAGTCTCCCTCTCTGTGGCCCCGGGGGCAGGTGCCCTCCATTGGACTTTATCAGGGGCACCTTGAAGGCGTCACGCGATCCAGGCCCTGAGGCCCATCCTCCGCCGTGACCGCTGTGAGGCCCATTTGTGTCTTCCCTCCTGGCATGCGAAGAGCAAAGAGCCTTAGTTCTCGCTGCATCTTAGTCTCTTTTCTAATCCACGGGATTTACAGAGGGCAGATTGGGGGCTGCATTTGGGCTCAGTTCAGCAGGACTTACTGACGCACGCAGGGCCTGGGCACCGTCTCCGGTGGCGGCCACACTGTCAAGGTGGCTGGGGACACCTGGGCAGCCGAGGCCCAGGAGGCAGTGGGAGGGAGCAGGGAAGGTCTGGCAGCGGCGTGCAAGGGCAGACGAGAGGGGCCATAGTGGCTGGACGCCAGGGAGTTCACCGCAGGGTTTAAGTGCAGACAAACATGGAAGCGCTGTCCAGCTCCAGCCCAGCCTGCTGCTGGCTGGGCCCATTTCCTGCTCTGCAAGACCGGGCGGTAACACCTGCCTCCAGGCTGTTGTGTTGATAAGACTAAGTGTGTGGGTCACTAAGACACACAGGATGGGTCTTGGGCCCCATGTAGGTTGTGGCGGCCAGAAGGCTGGGCCTGAGTGAGAGGTCAGGGTAGAAACCCCCATGGGCCATGGCCCTGAGAAGGCCTAGAAGGGCCTGAGCAGGGGGCAGGGGCAGGTCCTCTTTTAGGAGATGGCTAAAGGTATCAGAGCTGCCAGGAGCCCCCACGAGGAGACCAGCCAGCTGATGGCCCTCAGATGATGGGACCTGAACTGTGGCTGGGGTTTATCAAGAACAGGAGCCCCCAGGGCCTTTGGAATAGCCATCACCCCCACATCCACACTCTGCCCCACAGTGAGGCTGGTGGCCAGAAGCACTTAAGCGGCCAGTTTTCAGATCTGCCCAGGTTTCCGCCTGGAGTGAGGCCCTGGTCTGAGTGCATCAAGGGGTGGCCACTCTCGGGTCTGGGGAATCTGAGATTGGCTGCTCAGGGCGGCCTGGAGGTCGAGCCAAGGAAACTGGTCGTTTACCACTAGACACAGTAGGCCGGGTACCAATTGCCAGGCTGTGCCAGAACCAAGGATGGAGGCAGGGCCAGGAAAGTCTTCTCAGAACAAGAGAGTGAGACTCTCCGAAGAGGAGTCCCTCTCACCAGGGCCAGGGAAGGGCATTGCACACAGAGGGAGCAGAATGGAAAGAAGGAGAGAGCTCGGGAGACCAGGGACACAGGGCAACTGAATGGCAGAGCCTGGCCCCGGCCACAGAAGACCCCCGTGCTGGGCCAGGATGCAGCCACGGGGAGTGGCAGGCAAACCCCTGTGCAGCTGTGAGAGACCAGGGCGGAGGCTGTGCTGAGGCCGTGCTGCCCCTCTGCTCACCAGCCCCAGCATGCTCCCTCCTCCCTGCCTTTGCCGGATTGCTCTCTCTCCCACAGTGCCACACACACACACACACACACACACACACACACACACACACGCTATGTTCAAATGCCCAAATGTTACTTTCTTAGGGTAGAGCTCCCTAATCTTTTCCAGTCTCCTCAAAGCCAACATACCTCTCCCTGCTTGGTGCCGGGGGACCCTTTGCCCGCCCTGCCCCCGCTCTCCACGTGGTATTGTGCACATCTGCACACGGTCACCTCTCCTTGGTGGGACTCGGCGTGCACTGATCAGCACGTGTTCTGGCCAGGCCTCCACGAACACTGGGGGGCGGGGAGCAGACCCTTCCCCTAGACCTCCTGGAGGGTGTGGGCAGACCACAGGTTAACCACGTGTCTCACGTGGGACAGTTAGAACATGTGCTGGGCACAGGGGCAGAAGGCCTGAGTCTGGAACATGGAAACGCCTCTGTGTGGAAGAGGAGGCACAGAGAGGCAGGCAGTGTGTGCAGCAGGCGAGGAGGGTGGAGCTGCCTCCATCATTTGCTGGAGTGGAGGGTGCAGTGTGCATGGGGAGGAGGGGATATTGGTTGGAGAGGGGAGGACAAGGGTCTGCAGGGAGCAGATGGGCCGGGCCTACAACACTCCCCTCCCCCCTGTTGGTCCTCCACACCCACAGGGCGGGTGGCGCTCAGTGAGGCTTTGCTGGGTGTGTGGCGGGGCTCGGTGGGGCTGCTTTGCCGTGGTCGCTGGCCCCATGCAGACACCACAGATCTTGTGGGGCCCGGGGGACGCCCCAGCTCTCAGCACTCACCCTTGTGTCTGTGGCTTCCCCCCTTCCCCTGGGAAGGCCCCAGCAGTGCCGAGCTGAAAGAACCGTCAGGACTCTTCCGGTTACATCTCAGTTCGCTTGGGCTGCTGTAACAAAGCGCCCCAGAACGGGTGGCTTATAAACAGCAGAAATTTATTTTTCCCGGTTCTGGAGGCTGGACGTTCGAGATCAGGGCCAGCGAGACCACCTTCTGGGGAGAGCCCGCTTCTGGGTTGCAGACGGCGGGCTCCTCGCTGCGTCTTCACGGGGCAGAACAGAGCTCTGTGGGCCCCTTTTATTTATTTATTTTTAATTTTTTTTTTAATTTAATATATTTTATTGATTTTTTTTACAGAGAGGAAGAGAGAGGGATAGAGAGTTAGAAACATCGATGAGAGAGAATCATCGGTCAGCTGCCTCTTGCACACCCTCCTCTGGGGATGTGCCCGCAACCAAGGTGCATGCCCTTGACCGGAGTTGAACCTGGAACCTTTCAGTCCGCAGGCTGACGCTCTATCCACTGAGCCAAACCAGTTTTGGCTGTGGGCCCTTTCATAAGGGCACCAATCCCTGATGACCTGCTCGCCACAGAGGCCCTGCCTCCTAACGTCATATTGGGGCTTAGGGAGCATGTACGTTCAGAACAAAACAAATGACAAGTGGCAGAAACTCAGTGCAGGCTGTCTTCAGGAACAATGTATTCGCAAAGAGAAGAGTTCCTGGCGGTTTCAGCTCCAGCCTTTGCCCTGTCTCTCCACCTCTCCGTTCTGCTTTCCTCTCTGTGCCCTCTTTCCCAAGCCATTGGTGCCCCAGGAGCGCCACGGGCGAGAAGGCTTAGCTCCATCGGGTGGAAAGAGCCCTCCTGCCCAAAAGGGCCACTTTCCGAAGCCCCCAGACCAATCACCGAGCTGAGGGAATGCAGTCACCAGCCCAAGCCCATGGGTGGCGATGGGGCAGTTTGGGAGGAGAAATGGGGCTCTGTGCCCAGACCCAAGGAAGGGAGCAGCAAACAGAGGGGTTCTGGGCAGCCAACAACACGCAGAGGCTCCCACCCCAGACCTGTGTGAAACATGCCCAGACCACGGCGTGGCACAGGCTTTGGACTGCTGTCACCCAATAGTGTCTTCTAGTCTTAACCCCCAGAGGAAATGCCTTTCCCGTATGTAACCTCTGCTCTCTTTCTCATTTCCAGGGGCCTCTGGGTCTGGATGGAAAGCCAGTAAGTGATGACAGGGCTGTTCGAGGTGATCCTGGGTTGGGTGGCCTGGGGTGATGGGCACGGTAGGGTTGGGAGTGACCATGGAGTGCCAGAGAGAAAGAACCACTGAGAACCTGGCTCAGCGCACAGAGAAGCCATTTAGGCATCAAACTTAAGTTCAAGTCCAGCTCCCCCATCTGCTGACTGTGCAACCTTGGGGAGGCCTCTTCACCGCCCCAGCCTGAGGCTTCTCACCTCTCAGAGAGGCTCGCTAACCCTCCCCGCTGTGATGGCGATGTGAAGGACTGCAGACAGCACTGTCCCTGCCTCTGGTCTGCCATCAAAGCTTAAAGCCCCTCCCAGCAGGCCTCAGGCTCAGAGATCCCCAGGCAGGCTCAGTCCTTTCATGGCGGGCATGAGGCTGAGGAGTTCGCAACACCTGGGTCAGGCGCCTGCGGTCCACAGGCGTCCTCAGCAGAACTAATAAGATGCACAGGTGACAACATAGTTAAATAAATAATTGGAAGGGTGGGTGGATGGGTGATAGACAGAAGAACAGCCAAAGTAGGTAATGAATCGATGATTGCACAAATAGTTGGGTGCATGGAAGGATAGGGTGGGTGGGTAAATGCATGATGGTTGAACAGACAAGTGAAGAAACGAATGAACGGACAAATAATTGAATAGCTGATTCATCCTGTGTGCATTATTGAAGGATGGAGGAAAGAACCTGGGTGGACGAATTCTTGAATGAATGAACAGCAAATCCACTCCTGGCTGAAGGGATAGTGGGCCGTTTGGGGAGGGATGAAGGCCAGGGAGCTAGTCAGTCCCTGACCAACGGTGCCAGCCCTCACCCCAGGGACGCTGAGCCCCACAGTGTGCCTTGTGGCTTGGCCTTCCTAGAAGGCCTGGTGACTTGGCAGGACCGAAAGAAAGACATTCCCCTGGAGCCAGAGGGTGAAGGCAGCCGCCGTGGCCTGCATGGAGTCCCTCACACACACCTACCCCAGGCTCCACAAGCAGCAGCTCCTGACGGGCACCCAGCACAATGGGGGCTGAGCAGGGAGGTCTCCGCTCTCTGGGGGGAATGACTAGCGTTTGTGCCTCTGTTCAGAGAGGATGCAGTGACCTCAGGTCTCCTGTGTCCCTCATGCTGAGGACTGAGATGTGCTGGTTCCTGGGGGGTCAGCACAGGCAGCCTCCTTAAGGACTGACAGTCTTGTGTGTTTTTCCACTCGGCCGCCCCCAGCTCTGCTCAGCCTCACGGGCCCTTCTGTTCGCAAAGCCTTAGGGAAGCCGGCGGGGCCAGCCTCGCTTTCCTCACTCACTGCTGTTCTTTCTCCACTTCCTTCTCCAGGGACTTCCAGGCCCCAAGGGAGAAAAGGTAAGTGATGCTGGAGGCTGTGCAGACACAGAGGCTGAGGGAGGATGCCAGACACCTGTCTCCAAACCCCAGTTCCAGAGTGTGACCGTGGCCCCGTCACATCCCCTCCTGGGGCCTCAGTTTCCCCATCTATAAAGTGGGCAGGTAGTGCCTATCTCCCGGAATGGCTATGAGGCTCACATTTGACCATTTAAAGTGCCCGGAAGGTTAAATCTGAGTTCGTCAGACACCACAGAATAACAAAACTCAAAGCAGTCGGCCCAGTCCTTAATCCTGAAGGGGGCGGTGCCAGGAAGCCTGGGGGGTTGGACAGTGACTGTGGATGGCACTCTTTGTGGAGGCGACACCCCCGCCAGGAAAACAGAAGGCAGAGAGCTGCCCCTGGGTCCTCACAGCCCCTTACCAGAAGGGCTTCCTGGCATTGGGTGCTAACTGTCCCAGCCACAGCCCGAAAGAGAGCGGGAGAGAGGAAATGTGTGTGTCTCGGGGCTGACTGGGCACTTCCAGGGAAGAGCTGGGCTGGACCACATCCACACCCCAACTCCACAGGGGGTCACTTAGTTTCCGCCGGCCCGTGTTCTGGTCCGCCATCAGAGCTGACTGTTTCGTGGCTCAGGATTCCAAGAGGGCGCAGTGGGAGCGGCCTATCCCTGTTCCGCCATGTCTAGGGCTGGCGATAGGTAGCCGACCACCCTGGAATCTGCTCGTGGTGTGACCTTGGGCAGACTACTCAGCCCCTCTGTGCCTTCATTTCCTCGTTGGAAATGGGGAGGTGGGGGGGAGAATAGAGCCTGTGATTTTTGGTAGAGTGGATGAGACCATGAACATGACATTCTGAGCACAGAGCTGGGCATATGTAAAGTCATCAAGGTAGTGACACATCTCCCTGTTTTTTGTTCCCAGGGTGCACCAGGAGACTTTGGACCCCGGGTAAGACCCCTTACCCCACCTTCACAGTTGGTTTTATATTATAAATAGAGGCTCATTGCACAAATTCATGCACAGGCAGTGTCCCTTAGCCTGGCCTGCGATTGGGGCCATTTGGAGCGACCTGGCCCAGACTGGTCGGAGCTGATCAGGGGAGGGGAGGGAGAGGGGCCAACGGAGGTTGCCCAGCTGAGGGAGGTTGGCTGTGGGAGTGCAGTGACCACCAAGAGGCAGCTCTTATGTTGAGCACCTGCCCCCTGGTGGTCAGTGCACATCATTGCAACCAATCAACTAGTCATTTGGTTGTTCGATCACTTAGGATTTTAGATAGATAGATAGATAGATAGATAGATAGATAGATAGATAGATAGATAGATAGATAGATAGATAGATAAATAGATAGAGCATGCCCTACAGCTTATCACAGAAGGTGAGTGAGCAGCCCCTCTCCTGCCCACAGTATATTCTGCTTCAGGATTTCACTGAAATGGCCACTGGTCTGGCACAGATGGGAAGTCTCATACCACGTATCACTGTGGGTGGGCAGACAGGGGGCCAGCACTGGTCTCAGACCAGAGACGGACCTTCCTGAGGACAGCCAGCACCCAGGAAGAGGAGGGCTTAGGGTCAGCCCAAGTGACCCTGAGCACGCCACTTTCCCCTCTGAGGCTCCGTTTCTCTAACTGTGAGTGGGGGTGACAGCTTCACTGTGGTGAAGATTCAATGCAACCAGCACCCCACATGGAACAGTAGACGGGAGCCTCAGCCAGACCACCTTGGCCCTTCGTGGCCCCGGGCCCCAGGACTCAGAAGTGCCTCAGGCAGGAGCAGGGGTTTCCTCAGCAGAGGCTGAAGCAGAGGGGAGACCAGGTGGGCTGGGCCTGCAAAAGGAGGTCTTGGCTGAGGGTCACTTAGTGGCCCTCTCTGCCTTTGCCACAGCCCGGGCAGACAGCGGCCGCAGCCTCACCACAGAGGCGAGAGGCGGGCATCAGCTGCCCGGAGAAAGGCAGGAACGTGACGTGTTCACAGTTGTGTTTAAGAAGGTTGCGGGGTGGAGATTGTAGCCGATGGCCGGGCACCCACAGCAAGCAGCTGCCTGGCGGGAGGTGGGCCTGGCGCAGAGGCAGGCGCTGTGCGTGGGGGGTGAAAGGAGAGGGGGCTGTGTGCAGAGAGCGGGCTGGGCTTTGCAGGCCCAGGCGGGCTGGGCTGGGTCCCTGTCCCAGTTCTGCATCCTCATGGCTCTGAGGGTGGTTGTGAGTCCAGAGCAGGGACCAGGGCTGGCCAGGCTGTTTCCCTAGAGACCCAGCTGTTCTGGGCTGAGCCTTTGATAGGAGGCCAGAGGCACGGCCACAGAACGCTGGTGAGAAGTCCCTGCAGCCAAATAAAGGACGCCTCTGAGCTGGCTGGCTGCTGAAAAACCCCCTCTGCTCACTTTCTGTGGGATGTAGAAGCTGATCTTCCCACCCCTCAGCAGACAGAAATCCCCCAGCCCTGGTGTAGCTGCCGGGCAGACCTCCCCAAGCCCCACCCCGCTTCGTGGGTAAAAGCCCCTGTGAAACACCTCCACCCTGAGAGTCACTCAAACCACAGGTCACCACCTCTCATGACCCCTGGCTGCTGGGTCTCTCCCGTTGCAAGAGGGGCCGTGGGGCCTGGAGGGGAGGCGGCTGTTGGCTGGGAGCTGGGCTTCCTCCAGGGGCCTCTCGAGAACATTTTGAGAAGCAGGAAGCCAGGACTGCCAGGCCATGAAGAGCCATCCACAGCATCACCGCCCCTGCATCCTAATGGTCCCATCTGTCACAGGGCTCGCTCAGCGTCCGTGGGGGACGGGGAGAAACAGGCCCCAGCTCTTGGGAAGTAGCAAGGTCACACTGGAGAGAACGCTGTGGGATGGAGGGAGCGTAGCAGCCCCTGTGAGCACGTGGTCCACCCCTTTACCGTTCCCCCCCCCCCACACACCCCCAATCACAGGCTGCCTTCTGTGGCTGCAGAGGTGGCTTTGCCTCCAGAAATAGCTCTGTGGTTTTCCAAATCGCCCTCCTGCCTTTCTGACCACACGGCCTGTTTGCTGTAGATGGTTTTCCCACGGCTTCACCCGGGCTTTATAAGTAGAGACCATCCCATGTACCCTCGCCGCATCCTCAAGGTAGACTGGACGAGAGGCCTGTCTGGGCTGCTGGCTTGCGTGTTCCCCTGGACGACTCATCACACCCCCAGGGTTAGACCTCAGCCGTCCGATCCGGCGGGAGGAGGAGGCAGCGGGCAGCCTCACGTCCCAAGCAACGCAGGGGAGAACCTCAGAGCCTCTCCAGGGCCTGCTCAAGTGTCTAAACCCATTTTCTGCCTCAATAAGTAGAGTCCAGGCCTGTGTGCCCAGCACGGGCCCCGGAGCTGGAGTCCGATCCTGTTGGTCAGGACCTGGTGGATCTCCACAGTGGACCTTGAGAGCTTCCGCTAAGCTTTCCACTGGGAAAGCCAGTGAGTGAGGTCTTAGGTGCAGCTGCTGGAGAGGTGAGCTCTTTCCTATCACGGAGCTCATGGTGAACAGAGAGACCTCCTGGCCCGTCACCCTGGTTAAATGGTCACCCTCTGGCGCTGGCCCTCAGATTGTAAAACAGGACAGGAGCGGTGCCTGGCCAGATGATTGGATGAGAGAACCCCAGGATGCCCTGGCTTCTCAGCCCTGGGCACACAGCAGAGTCCACTCCACAGAGGCCTGGCTACGGAAAGATTAGGCACTGCCGGCACTGTGAGGCGGTGGCACTGTGGTCTTCCCTCCTTGCAGGTGGGGCCACCCGGTGAGGGCTCTGGCTGTCTGAGGTCTGACCCAGTACTAACCTCGCTCGGCCTGAGAGTTGGGGGTTTGGGGCTGCATGAGAGAGACTGTGTGGCCCTCTGTCGCCTTTTTTTTTTTTTTTTAAGATAATTGTAAATTCACGTGCAGTTGTAATATGTAACACCATGTTCCCATCATCCACTTTCCCCCAAAGGTGACTTGGGCAGCACCTCGTATAATCTCCTACCCAGGAAGTTGATACAATCCACCCACCTTACTCAGACTTCTCCCACTCATTTGTGTGCTTAATCTTATGCATTTTTATCGCTGTTGTAGATTCGTGCAGCCTCCACACAAAGACCCCTCAGGCTATACTGTTTTATAGCTCTCTACCCCCATCCCTAACGCCTAGCAACTACTAATCTATGCTCCCTCTCTATTCTTTTGCTATTTCGAGAATGCGATGTAGCTGCAGTCACAACGTATGTGACTTTTGAGATTTGCTTTTTCCCTTGGCATAATTCCCGTGAGATGCATCCCAGTGGCTGCGTGTCGCTGCTCTGTTCCTGCTTGTTTGCTGCTGACAGTGTTCCCTGGCAGAGGTGCCCCAGGTGGTTAGCCACTCGCCATTGGAGGGCTTCTGGTCTCCAGTTTGGGGCCCTTGGACTCGAGGAACATCCATGTGCTGATTTTTGTGTGAACATGAGTCTTCGCTTCTCTGGGACAAATGCCCAAGAGCGCACCTCTGTCACCGAATGAAGCGGGAGTGGTGCAGCCAAGGTCTCTCAGGAGGCCTGCCATCCCCTTTCTGGAGGAAGGGGCTGGCCGGGCACAGGTGTCTTCTCTCACACCTACTGGGTGTCATCTCTCACCTAAACACTGCAGATGAGGAGATGGCACACTCCTTGGCGTGTAAATAAAAGTCCCTGTTGGGCCGAAACTGGTTTGGCTCAATGGATAGAGCGTCGGTCTGTGGACTGAAAGGTCCCAGGTTCAATTCCAGTCAAGGGCATGTATCTTGGTTGTGGGCACACCCCCGGTGGGGGGTGTGCTGGAGGCAGCTGGTCGATGTTCCTCTCTCATCGATGTTTCTAACTCTCTTATCTCCTTTCCTCTCTGTAAAAAAATCAATAAAATATATATTTTTTAAAAAGGCCCTATTGGCCCCATAAGCTGAGCTTTAGGGACCTGTCCCTTCGTGTGGCCACCAAAACATGGCAACGGGCCTAACAACAAAGCCCTTTTCTCCGAGCCTGTTAAGGGCTGGGAAAGGGAAGGCATTGGGCTGTCCATCTATGGGGCCTCTCTCTAGAGACTAGGACCCCTTCCCTCACCCTCAGAGTCATGCCAGCCGCATCTCTTTCAGGGCGACCAAGGGCAAGATGGGGCTGCTGGGCCTCCTGGGCCCCCGGGGCCTCCCGGGGCTCGGGGCCCTCCTGGCGACACTGGGAAAGATGGACCCCGAGGAGCACCAGGCCCAGCGGTAAGAGGACATGGAGCTGGACCACAGGACCTGGTCTTGCACCAAAGCCCCAAACCCTGATCCCAGAACCAGGCCAACCCCAGCCCTATCCCCAGTTCAGACCGAAACCCAACCCTAACTCCACCACCAACCCAGACCCTTACACCAAAACTAGCTGGGTTATCAGCCCCAGTTAAGATGTTGACCTCAAACTCATTCCCAAATCCTAATCCATATCCCAATCAGACTATCATCAGACCCTAACTCTCACCTTTGCAAACTCCGACCCTGATTCCAAGTCCAACTCTTACCCCTACACTCTAACCCCAAATAGTCCCATAGACCCTAACTCTGACCTTAGCTGCAATCTCAGTTTAATCTGACCCTGACCCCTGTATGTAATCTCTTTCTCTGCAGATCTTTTCCACCCTCTATTTCTTCCTCTCTCTTTCTTCCTCCCACCCCCCTGTACTAACTAGTTAGCCTCGGTCATCTTCCCATGGTCCTCACCAAACCCCGGAGGGCAGACCTCATCTACCTGCTACCCTGTCCCTAACCCCGGGACTGAAACTTCTCCAGCGTGAAGCCAGCACCTCCACCCACCTGCCACCAGGGTGCCCTCTCAGGGCAGCTACTCACCTGGCTCATCCAGTCCCTGTCCCACTGGGCACATAACTCCCTGAGCCTAAACGTTCTCACCTGTGAAGTGAGGACAATGACCCCTACTTTTCAGGGGTGAGGCTGAAATGAGCAAATATGATTGGAGTCTAGGCCAGGGTCCGGCAGGAGCTGTGGGCTCAGCTAACCCTGCATCCCCTCATCTCTCTCCTTGTGTCCTCAGGGTCCCAAAGGAGAGGCTGGACAAGACGGTGAGACGGTCAGTATACCCAGAGCATTTCAAAGGCCTGAGCAGCTCCTCTTACACACACACACACACACACACACACACACACACACAACACTCACACTCAGGTTGTGTGTACGGCTGTACATGTGCATACTCCCGGGCTCTTGCCCCCACCAGCAGTGGGAAGGGATGGCCAGGTCTCCAGCCCAGCAGAGTCCTCACAGCCCTGCATCCCTGGGAGGGGGCCTGCAGTCTGTTGGTCGCTGCTTGAGATCTGATGAGAAGCTGTCCAAGACCGGAAGCAGTGACAGCCCTGCCTGCTCCTCCCTGGGACGTGGTGTCATCCTTTGTCAAATGGGAATGATAAGGACAGATAGGAGCAACCTCCAGCATCCCCTTTAACACCTTCTCTCGTTCCAGGGCCCAAAGGGACCTCCAGGGCCCAAGGTAAGTGTTCCTCAGTCCCTGTCCTCACGCCCAGGCAGCAGGGTTAGGAGACAGAGTTCTGTGATCTTGGGCAAGTTACTGCATCTCTCTCTGGGCCTCAGTTTACTCATCTGTTAAATGGGGGCATGATAAGCCTTTTCTGCCTTACCTTCACACCAGGTTGTAAGGATCAACTAATAAAGCACATTAGCTTTTAAAGTTCTCTCAGATGTCAGCTCAGTGCTTGCTGGGTGGGAAGGCAGGCTCTGGTCCTCCCTGAAGGAGCTGGAGTCTCTGAGCTGAGCAGGAGTAAAGGGCTCCATTTAGTGAGCACGTGCTGCGAGCCAGGGGCTTTTCATGCATCCTCTCTCATCGAGCAGTGACCCTCTGAGGCCCTCTGAGGCTGGGGGCATCATACTCCCACTTTCAAGAGCAGGGACTTGCCTGAGGGCATTTGGCTTGGAAGGGTCTGGGTCAGGAGTGGAGTCCGGGACTGTCAGCCCCGCTCCCATGTGCTCCTCTCCGAGGGGCTGGGCCCTCCGGACTGCACTGGGCGTGGATCTGGGGCCCCTTCTCCAGAGGAGCAGGCAGCCCAATGTCTCTGACCTTTGTCTTGCACCCCCACTGTCTGCCCCCCAGGGTGAGCCCGGCATTCCTGGAAAGAAGGTGAGTGAGGTCTGAGGAGGGGCTTCTCGGTGGGGGTGGGGATGGGAGTGGGCTGGAGAGAAGGGCAGGGGCTGGCACGGGGTGGAAACGGGAGCCCCCACAAAGAAGGTGCCCTGCTTCTCGGCAGACCTGACACCTCACTGTGGGTATGTGTCTGAAGCCAGAATCTCATTTGTTCATTCGTTCGCTCATTCGCTCCTTTCTTCAAACATCACATTTTCCCCGCCTCAGGGTGCAGCACAGTGTTCTTAAGCTGTAGTCCCAAGAGCATCATTGGGGGCTTGTTTCACAAGCATGTTCGAGGCCCACCGCAGACCTCCCAAAACAGACACTGGGGGTGGGCTGTGCTCTGTCCAAGCAGCCTCAGGTGATCCTGATGTGCACTCAAGTCTGGAGCCTCTGACCCAGCGTGACCTTCTCCCACCTCTTCCATGCTGGCCGCCCCCTCCTGCAGGTCTCAGCAAAGCTGCCTCTCCTCTGAGAAACTGCCCCTGCCACCTACTGAAGCACACCCTCCCCCAGTCCCTTTCCACCCTGCCGTCCCCCTCAGTGCTCTGCCTGGCCCTTCTATTTCCTGTCACCCTGCAACGTATTCCTCTGGAGATTTCCTTGCCCTCGGCCTCCTCTGACCCACAGAGCAGGGACCTTGTCTCCGGGCCCACAGAAAGTGCCCACAAGGTCATTGTTGACGGAAGGACGAATTCCTCCCCTTCACCTGACCCCCATTTCTTCTGCACACACCTGCCGAGGCCATTCTGGGCTGGCCCTGGGCTGGTGAGAGCCGGGGACAGAGGTAGATCTGACCCCACCCCTGCATAGAGGGGCGAGGAGGGGAGGGAGAAGCTGCCCGTCCCAGTATAACCAGTGTTGGTGACGGGAGTGGACAGCTGTGTGGGGTGGACAGAGGGGTGTTGCCGGCGTGCCCAGGTCTGAGGCTGCAGCCTCCACCACTCTCTCCTCAGGGGGATGACGGGACACCAAGCCAACCAGGGCTCCCTGGACCTCCAGGGCCCAAGGTAGGTACCAGTGCCTCCCCCAGAGCTCCTCCTGCTGCCCATCTTGCACGGTTTTGTCTCCTTGGCGAAGCCCCTCCTGGCCTGGTGGGCACAGGCTGATGCCCAGGACGGGCCACAGAGGGGCAGCAGGAAGGCCCTGGGCCCACGCATCAACGGGGCTGGCACCTCACAGGCTCTCTCCCCTCACACCCTGAAGTCCTCTGGTTCCCATCTCCGGTGCCCCACTCCCTGCCCTGCCCCCAGGCCGGGAACTGACGTCATCCTGGCTCCCCAACCTCTCGTGACAGCCACCCGATCCTGGCCAGCCTGCCTCCACAATGTCTCTGGAGCCCCTGAGCTGCCCCAGCTATGCCCCAGGACTCAGGCAGAAGGAGGCTATGGCCCTGAGTCCCCTGGTCCAGGCGGGCCCTGAGGTCCATCCTCTGCAGGTGGCTCAGCCGTGTTCTCCTGGAACCGCTGCAGAGGCCGGCAGCCCAGGCAGCCCTCGCTGCCCCGCTGCTTCCTTCCACTGTCAATGTCTCTCTGCAGGGCGAGCCGGGGAGCGTGGGGCCACGGGGAGAGAAGGGCGTGGACGGAGTCCCGGGGACAAAGGTGACTTAGCAGCCCAAGGCGTCGGCTTCTGCGGCCCCTTCAGAGGAGATGTGGTTCACCTCCAATTGGCCTTTTTATGTTGGGAATCCCTGGGGCGAGTGGTGGGGGGGGCCTGCATCCTCAGGTCTTGGATCTCGGGTCTCATTGGACTGGCAACCAGAGACTGATCTGAGCTGGGGAGGTGGGGGGAAGACGGCGGGCGGCAATAGGTCTGGGGGAGCTATGAGGCTAAGGCACCATGTAATGTAGCCTTGGACTCCTGGGCCGCGGTGGCCTATCTCTGGGGTCAAATGGTTCCGCAATCACACGCGTGAGGGCCTGCGCCCCGTGGGGAGAGGGGGCGGGAGGAGGTGGGCTGTGTGCACCTGGCTGCAACCACATCGTCTCCATAGGGGGAGCCCGGCCAGCGAGGAGCCGACGGAGCCTCCGGGCTGCGGGTAAGCAGTCTCTCCTCCAGCCACCCACAGGGGACCCAGGGGCCTGGCACTTTCATATAATATATTTATTCCCGAGAGGAAAGGAGAGGGAGAAAGAGACAGAAACAGCAGTGAGAGAGGATCATTGATTGGCTGCCTCCTGCTGGGGATGGAGCCCACAACCCGGGCATGTGCCCTTGATTGGAATTGCACCCGGGACCCTTCAGTCTTCAGGCTGACGCTCTATCCACTGAGCCAAGCCCGCTGGGGTGGGGCCTGTCACTCTAAAGGTCCCTGTCACCAAAGGCCCAGAGGAGAGTGAGGCTCCAGAAACGGAGTCTTGTTTTATATTAATTCATTTGTGATTTTTTTTTTTCATTTTTAATCTCGTAGTACACGCTTTCGGTAAAATGTTCAAATGTGGATGTGACGAGACACATCCCCTCTTGTTCCTCCCTCCCAGGTGCCCGCTCGCCCTTCGAGAGCCTTTTCTTGGCGTATTCATACTCAGACCCCCAGCTGTCACACACGGCGTTGCCCCGCCCCCTGTGGGGGTTCTGGCCTTTCAGCTCCACGTCCCAGTCCATTCCTGTCACCAGGAAGCACAGCGACTCCCGCTGGCCCCAAGGTCCCAGGCCTCCCGGGGCCAAAGCCTGTGGGCACACCTTAGGCTGGCACCCTGCTCCTGCTCTGTGGCCGGAGCAGGCACCTCCCCTGGAGGCAGGTGTCCTCCTCCAGAAACCAGGTCTCCGCCCGCAGCCAGAGCCTGCAGGTGGCCGGGGACGGGAGTAAGCTCACTGTGTGGAAAGTCAGTGTAAACTACAGTGCCACTCGGGTCTTGACCATGGAGGCAGCCAGCAGGGGGCCCCCAGCTGGGTCTCTCCGCCCAGGGCACGGGGCTGGCACAGGCTTGAGCCGGCGAGTTCGTGGCCGCTCGCTCTTCTCCAAGCAGAGCGGTGCCCGGGAAGAGAGGGGAGGTGCAGAGGGGGGGGCAGGGTCAGCAGCCACGCGCTCACCATGTGGACACCTGCAAGTGGAGACACATGCCTGTGGCCACAGGCTCGGGTGGGCGTGTGCTCCTACCGGGAATGAATGGGCTTGTGGGTGCCCGGGGGGGGGGGGGGGACAGCCTCCACCAGAGGTTGGTAAACCAAGGCACAGGCCTGCACGGCGTCTTGAAGGGTTTGAGTGTCTTTGTGTTTGTTTGCCAACATTTAAAAACCTGAACAGCATCACATCACATTAGGCTTCCCACTTTCCCTCGAGAATTCAGGGCTGGGCCTCCGTTCCCACATGAAAGCCGAGTGCTGCCACCCCCAATCCAGCGGGGTTTGCTCTGCAGTTGGCCCCAGGCCCCCTTTCCCTCCAGGTGCCTGTCCGGCTCCTACCCTGTGTTGTCCGTGAGCCTGGGTGCCAGCGCAGTGAATGCCAGGGGACCCAACCTGAGGACCAGCCCTGCTGGGCCCCCAGGTTGCAGCCGAGCTGGGGCCAGGACTGCATGTGGCCCCAGGTCCTGGGTTCCTGGGGTGACATGCAGAGGCGACTACCACTGCCCCCGCCAACGGAGCTCCTCCCCGAAACCTCCCTCTCCTTCCCGCCTCAGGGTCCCCCCGGCCTCAAGGGCGAGCAAGGAGACACGGTGGTGATTGACTACGACGGCAGGATCCTGGATGCCCTGAAGGTAGCGTTCCTGGTGGACCGCATGCGCCTCGCTGTCCATTCCCTGAGGGAATAGCCACTCCCTCTGTGCATTCATCCACACTGTGTACGCAGGGGCCCCAACTTCACCAGGTGCTGCTGTGCTGATACTGAGAGAGCTGCTGTGATGGGGCTCATGGGGCCCCGAGCTTCCTTGGGATCAAAGCAACAAGGGGCAGAGGCAGGGGCAGAGCATTTCCTGTGTCCTACCCCAGCAAGGCCTCCTGGGACCTTCCCTGGGAGCTCAGGCTAGAGGGCCGGGTCTCCTAATGACCATTGGCAGGGGATGAGAGTGGCCAGGCCCACCCCAGAGCCTCGCTTGGGAGACAGAGCCTGTGAGCCCTGCCCAGCAAACCTGGGACCATAACCAGTGGAAGAGAGGTTGAGTGCCAAGGGAGGGAGCTAGGGGGGTGAGGGAGAGACAGCCATCAGAGACCAGACTGATGGTTCAATTCCAGTTATTTCCCACAGGCCTCAGAGAAGTACCAGCTGATGGTAACTGTGGCCCCCCAGGCCCGCATGGTGTGGTGTGGTGTGGTGTGGTGTGGTGTGGTGTGGCCACAGGGCGTATACATGCATGGTGTGCCCCAAGCTGGCTAGGAGCTGCACGGGAGAAGTCCCATGAGCACAGGGAGGCAGGGTGCCAGGCTGGGAGGATGACTCCATTGGATGGGCAGCAGGAAGTCACAGCTGATGCTCTGAGCAGAGGGGCAATGCTAACAACCACGTCTTGGGGGATGGTGTGGCAGGTGAACAAAGTGGGTGTGGGGACAGCTGGAGGCAGGCAGGCTGCCGGGAAGGTAGGTGCTGAGCTGGGCCTAAGGAGGGTGGTGGGTGGACGGAAGGAAGGTATAAGACAGGACATCTCCATGGAGCCTCTGACAGGAAGGGAGAAGGTTGGTGAGAGGAGGTGGAGGACTGGAACTCGGGGAGTTGAGGGGCTGAATGGGGTGCAGCCTTTGGGAGGGGACCTGAGTTTGGAGGGCGATGATGAGCCTCAGTGAGCAGGCAGCCTTCTGGAGGCCTCGGTCCAGATAGCAGCTTGGGATTCAGGTCAGACCTAGAGACTGAAGGTGCCGTCTCTTACCTGTGTGACCCAGGAACTCCCCGTGGCAGGAGACAACAGGCGACAGAGCAGATGGTCAGAGTCACAGGAGAAGTAGAGAAGGCAGTGCTGGCCACTGTTGGGGATACAGTTTGGGGCTGGCATTGAATGACAGCTTCAGAGGCAATGGGGAGCCACTGCAGGATCTGGAGCAGGGCAGTGTTGAGAAGAAATCTAATTTTGGGGAAACAAGCTCTGAGGGCAGAGGGACTCTGGACTCTCCATGGCAGTGGCACTGTGATATCCTGACGCTTGGTGCCTCCTCCCAGGACTCCTCCAAGACCTGGGCCTGGCCTGGCCTGGCCTGGCTGGGTGGGAATCAGCTGCGGAAGGTCCTGACCCTGCCGTAGCCTAGCTGAACAGAGACAGGCCCTGCGGGGGGAGGGGTGGACCAGCAGTGAGGGGAGGCCCCGCTTCACACTGACCAGCCTGTCTTTTGCACACAGGGTCCTCCCGGCCCACCCGGGCCTCCCGGGATCCCCGGAGCCAAGGTCAGTGCACATGCAGCTGGGTGGCCCCTCAAGCCCATAGTCTCCAGAGCCCACCTGCCCCTCTGCTTGTCGCCCCATGGTCCAGCCTGGCCTCTAGAGGCTCAGAGAAAGGGGCTACTTCCTAGCCAAGCAGGGCGCCTTCTCCCAGGCCCTAGTTACCCTGCACTCTGGGGAGTTTGATTCACATGTGGAAGCCCGTGCATTGGCCCCTCGTGACGTGGTCCTTCCTGTGGCCTATGTGCATCGTTACATCCTGCCCACCTGGCTCAGGAGAAAGAGCCCAGACCGTGAAATCAGACAGGTCCAGTTCCGCCCTTGTCCCTGGGCTATGGGGCCTGGAGCAAGTCATGTAACCCTTGGGGCCTCTGCTTCCAAAATGTAACCTACAGCCTGGGCTACGTCTGCCTGTAGGGGCTGAGGGCATGGAGACGGGGAGGTGGCCGGCTCCTGGCACCGTGGCTTCCTGGAGTTCTAACTGCAGGGACTTGACCAGGCTGGTTGGGGGTGGCCGCCTGGTCACAGATCCCTCTTGGGGGCCATGGGACACTATAACCCTCTTGCTGTCTGTTCCCTTCCAGGGTGAGCTCGGATTGCCTGGTGCCCCCGGAATCGACGGAGAGAAGGTCTCTGAGCCTTTCATATTCTTGGTGATACTGGTGCCAGGTGTCATGTCTGGGGGCAGGGGAGGGCACGTGTGTATGTGTGTGTGTGTGTGTGTGAATGCAGAGGTTGGAAGGTGATTCTATAGATGGTGGGTTGGCTGTAGGGGTTGGGGCTCCCATCTCTGGCTCCTGAGGTAAGCACAGGGCTGACCTGGAACCCCATAGTGCCCCCTCATGGCTGCCCAGGCCCACATGCTCCACTCTTTTCACCCCCTCCCCTCCTATACCCCTGTGAGCAGTGAGGCAGGTGTCGGGGTGCCCTCTTCCTATCTCTGTCCAGGCCCCTCGGTGCATTTGTCACAATGAGGAAGTAGGAGTCTGGCCTGGCCTGAGCAAAGCTCTGGGGGCCTGTCAGAGTCAGGGAAGGAGAATGCCTGCTGAGCTGCACTGACCTCTTGTCCATGTGGCTTTCAGGGTCCCAAAGGACCAAAAGGAGACCCAGGAGAGGCTGGGCCAACTGGACCCAAAGGGGAAGCAGGCGAAATGGGCCTGTCTGGCCTCCCGGTAAGTGGCTGGGTGGGCACACCTTCCCACTTGCTCCACATGGGGTCCCAAAGTGAAAGTGTGCCTGCTGGCAGCGGGGCCTGCAGCCTCAGCCCGGCCGGGGCCACTGGGCTTAAAGGAAGCTGACGCCCAGCCCACGTGCTCAGACTCCCCGAGCCCCTGTTGAAGGCCTGCTGCTTCTCCCGAGGCCACTGAGGAGGTGAGATAAGGAGGCCCTGCCCAAGGAAGTGAGTTGGCGGTGGTTAGGTCGCGGCTCTGGCTGCCTGAGTTGGCATCCTGTTTCATTTCTTACTGACTGGAACCCTCTACAAGAAACCTAACCCCCAGGGCCTCGGTTTCCCCACCTCTAACATGGGGGTGACAATTTCCCACTACGCGAGGGAACAGACAGCTCTGAGAATGGTGGCTGGCATGCAATCAGTGCCTGCTGTCACCAGCATTGTCACGTTGATGGTTGGTCTTGGCGCGGATGGACTGGAAAAGCTGGCACATGAAGCACCTTACTTCATGTCCATCGTCCATCCATAAGGCTCGCCCAGAGAGAGAGGCAGCGCCGGGGCTGAACCAAGGCGCTGCCTGTGCCACAGGAAAACTGCCGCGTGCACCGCGGCACGCTGCTTTCTGAGAGCCCGTTGATCTGGGGAAACTATTCTAAGCTGCACTGGCCAACCTGGCACGTCTCTGCTGACGGAAGCCTTGCGGGGAGGACAGGGGAGGTACTGCTCACCGTGGGTGGTGATCTGGTGATGGACATAAACAGCTCAAGGTCATCCTGTCCTGCAGGGTGCCCACGGCCCCAAGGGTGAGAAGGGAGAGCCGGCACCAGACAGCCTATCAGAGAGCCTGGTAAGGGGGATTGCTGAATTCCAGGGTCTCCCCCCAATGCCCAGCTCAAGCCAGCTGGAGGCCCAAGTTTTGGAACAGCAGGGCTCCCTGGCCTGACCAAGCCTAGGGTAGCAGGGGAGGGGGGACCTCAGGTGTCCTCCGCCTAAGGCCCATCTGAGAACCCAAATGCCAGCGCTGGACCCCCCACAAGGTGCGGGGAGCAAGAAGCAATGGCCCAGGGCCTGGTGTCCAGGGAGTGTTCCTCCAACACGTCCCATGAGCTTACGTGTGGGTGGGTGAGGGATGACCAGGCGATTTGTAGCTAACCACTTCTGACCCTTTCCTAGGCCCAGATCATAGTGGAGCCAGGGCCCCCCGGCCCTCCTGGTCCCCCGGGCCCCATGGTAAGAATGTTTGGCTTGAAGCAGCTGGGATACAAAAAGGGTGGTGGGCCCAGGCCTAGGAGCTCTGACGGGGGAGGGCAGAATTCCTTGCAGGGGAGGGAGGGCGGAGCCAGCATCTGGGCTGGGGGGACCCTCCTCCCCCAGGTCAAGGCCAGTGGGTGGCCTGCAAGCCTTCATGACCAAGAGGGCCTTGGCCCTGATCTGCTCTCTCCTCCTCTTCCAGGGCCTTCAGGGAATCCAGGGTCCCAAGGTGAGTCTGGGGCGTGGGTGAAACCCTCTATCTGCTGCAGATCACAGCCTGCACAGTTTCAGAAAGCCTTGCTAATGGGCCGAGTGAGAGCCCCACGCCTGGCCTCAGACCAGCCCTGCATCTTCCCTGAATATTCTGAGTCCCCTAAGGCTAGTGCCCCCTCATGCCCACACTTGGAGCTCTGTTCTTAACCCTTCTCCTCCTGCCTGGGCCCCAATCTACTGCTTTCCCCCTCACTGTTTCTCCCCTTTCTCTGTACCTCCCCCCTCGTTGCCACTTCCCCTTCTGCCCCCCACATGCACATCTGTCTCTCAACTGCCCACAGCCTTGACATGAAGTCTTGGGTTTGGTGTGTATTACACAATGCTGTGTCCTCTGCCCTTAAATTAAAACCATGTGTGGCCTGCCAGTGTGCCTTCTCCGGGAGCCACACACAGGGGCGGGCAGCTGGCCTCACCGTTTGCCCTCCCCTGAGGGAGCCCCTCTCTGCTTCCCCAGCTCAGAGGCCAACTTGAGGACTCAGAGTCATGGACTCCCAGAGCTGAGTGGGCCAAGCATGTGACCGGCCACACGTGCTGCTTCTGGCTCTTTGTCCCAAGGCCTCCCCAGATTATGTGTAGAAGAGACAGATGTTGTCAGGGATGGAGCTCAGAAACTCAGATGGTAGTCAGTCCTGCCACTTGCTTGCTATGCGGGTCCATCCCTGCCTCCTCTGTGCCGCTCTTTCCTCATCTGTGAAATGGGTGTGACCACAACCACTACCATGAGTACTCAGGAAGCCCAAATGCAGGAAAAGGTAAAATGCTCACACAGGCAGCTCATTCTGATTATTTGCACAGAAAGGAACCCGGGCCAGACCTGACAGAGCCTGGAATCTGTCCCTCTGCCCTGCACACCTGGGCCTCCACAGGCCCAAAGATTTCCTGGCCTTCCATCTGTCTGACCCCTTTCCCCTGACTATGTCCCCCTTCCCTTCCAGGGCTTGGATGGAGCAAAGGGAGAGAAGGGCGAGTCGGGGGAGAGAGGCCCCAGTGGCCTGCCTGTGAGTGTCATGAGCCTTGTTTGTCGTTAGAGGTGCTGATTCCTATGACCATCACGCCTCTTAATTCATTCCTTTCTCATCCAGGGGCCAGCTGGTCCACTGGGCCTTATCGGGCTGCCAGGAACCAAAGGAGAGAAGGTAACCACTTTTTTTAATGCCCCCAACTATGGCTGCCCGCTGTGGTGTCACTCGGCCCTGGGGGTTCAACCCCCACACTTCAGGGCCAGAGATCAGGCTGGTGGACAACTTACAGGGCTGACATTCCCAGCAGCTATGCTTCCTCACACCTTCTCTTTGTCTCCCCTCAGGGCAGACCCGGGGAACCAGGACTAGATGTAAGTATCTCCCCATTCACCATGATCGGGTCCTCCTGTGTGTAGCTTTTGCCCTCATGCTGCACTACGTTAGCATGATCTGGTTGGCTTGGGTGTAACGCCCTGTCCCACCGCTGGGACTACAACTGCCTGGTTTCCCCGATGTTCCCAGTGCCAAGTCCAATGCACAGCCCAGAGCAGGTGCTTTTTGGATGGGTGGGTGGATGAATAGATGATGGATGGGTGACACATTGGAGCAGGGAAGTGGGGAGAGCAGTAAGGAGCCTATGGCAATATCCCGGTGAGAAATGAAGATGCTTCTGCTAAGGAAGCATTGTGGGACGGAGAGGAGGGAGAGTATTAGTTTAAGGTTGACTGGATCAAGTGTCTGTTGGTTGCAAGAGACAGAAAACACAATTTAAACTGGTTTAAACTGACTCATAACTGGAAAAAAATCCAGAAGTATTATACTTGGATCTAGGGCTCAAGTGTGTCAGCACAACACAAACTCTCAGCCTCTCTTATATGTGATTCCTCTGTGTGGGCATCATCCGAAGTTCCACGTGATGAGATGGAGCCAGTAGCTCCAGACCTGCATCTCTCCAGGCTCAAATTCTGGAGAAAGACTATCTCACTCTACTCTTTTTAAAAAATATATATGTTTGTTGATTTCTGAGATGAAGGGAGAGGAAGAGAGAGATAGAAACATCAGTGACAGGAGAGGATCATTGATGGGCTGCCTGCTGCATGCCCCCAATGGGGGTGGAGCCCACAACCCGGGCATATGCCCTGACCTGGAATTGAACCTCAACCTCCTGGTTCGATTGGATGCTCAACTACTGAACCATGCCAGTTGGGCTCACTCTCTACTCTTTAAGAAAAAGTCTCATCAACTCTCATTGATCCTAGTTGGGTCAATGCTGAAATAACACTTGGCCCTAATTGGCCGGACCTGATCACATGCTCCCTCCTGGAGCTAGGAGTGAAATCAATGAAGCATGAGAAAGGAGGGGGTTCCCAGGAAAATCAAGTAGCTCTTGGAAGGAAAATGGTGACCATACATACAGGGCTGCAAATCTTATGGGTCTGCCCTGGACTTTAAGGAGAAGGTGTCACATTGAAGAGCAATTGCAGACAAGGAAGAGGAAGAACTCTAACCTGAGTCTGACTGGGAGGGCCTTGTTCCATCGATGACAAGGGTCTGGAGAAGAAGACATCTGGACTCGGGAAGGTAGTCAGGGCAGAGCTAAAGATTCCATGGCCACAGCTGCCTTCTGGGAGGCCTAGCGCGCAGGGGTCATCTCAAAGCCACACCCACCTGTTCGACCTAGCAGACTGCTGGGGCTTCCATCCACAGACTGCCACAGGGTTCTACTTCAGAGGAAGCAGGGCTGGTGTCCTAAATCACGCATTTCCTTACTTCAGCCTGCCTAGGAGTTGGGACTGGGCCAGTTGGTACCACGGATATGGAGGGAGGGGCAGAGATGGACAGATAAGAGAAGAAAACCTCAAACCTAATCTCAGGTTTAACCCTTAATCCCCTTGTCAGGGTTTCCCTGGACCCCGAGGAGAGAAAGGCGACCGGAGTGAACGTGGAGAGAAGGTAGGGTAGGCGGAGAGAAAGTGGGGGCAGCTGGAGAGGAGATGGGGCAGGAGCACAGAGGAGGGAAGAGGCGGGTAGGACATGAGAGACGAGAAGCAGGCAGAGAGAGGTAGAGGCAGGTGAGCAGGTGGAGGCTGGGAGGGGGGCAGCAGGGCAGGGTGGCTGCCAACCCATCTCTCAGAGGTGCTGGAGGCACCCTGGGCATGGTGGCGATGGCCATACCCCCATCTCCCTTCTTGTGCAGGGAGAGCGAGGCGTCCCTGGCCGGAAAGGAGTGAAGGGCCAGAAGGGCGAGCCGGGACCGCCAGGCCTGGACCAGCCGTGCCCTGTGGTACGTGTCAGAGGAGGGAAGACCCAACCAAGGTCTTTGCCGCCTCCTGCAACATCTTCATGTCATCTTTGCCCAGAGGGCCCTCTTGCTCTAAGTCCTGACCCCACCATGGGTGCCACTTGAGACCCATCCCCTCTGTAGAAAGGGAGTCTCCCCAGTGCAGAGTCTGCTTCCGGAATCACTGCTCCTCTTTAGGAGGGTGGGACCGCCCTTACCTCTCTGGGTATCTGTCCCATCTGGGAGAAGCTTTTCTGCCTGGATGGCCCCATGCTTTCCCCTGTCCCTCCCCTGAGTTCCCCAGGCCCCTCCCTTCCCTGCTCCCACAGCCTCCTCCTTTCCTGCTGTGTCACCGCACACCCAACCAGGACCTAAAATAACCAAAATTCAGTTTCCTTTGTCTAGAAGGCAGCAGAGGTTACATGTCAAACTATCTCAGTGGAGCTCAGAAAAGATAGGGAAATGAAACAGCTGAGTCTCCATCCTAAACCTGACCAGATGTTCATACCTGGCCCCCCTTGCCAGGGGTATGGGGAGAGGCCACCTACCAAAGGGAGGTCAGGGCCGGGAACCCCCAGAGGCCCAATCCTCTGACCTTGAGTGAGTCACCTAGCCCCCTGGTCCTCAGTCTCCTCTCCGTACCGTGGGGGGCTGGCCCACCCTCAGGTGGCTGGAAGAGCAATGAGAATGAGAAAAAGCCCTGAAGCTCTGAGCAGGGAGCACAGGCAGAAAGTACCGAGGACAGCAGGGAGCAGGTGGCCCTGCAGAGCTAGCCCCTGGGCCGAGACTTCCTTCCAAGTCATGAAATCTTTGTCTTTGAAACAGGAAAATCCTAAATGCAGAGGCAAGCGAGGGGCCCCGGGCTCGAAGGGCCTGGCGAGGGGCAGCAGGCCCTGCCCTGCGGTACATGGTCTGGTCTGCTGTGTGCTGTGCTGTGCTGGCATCTGCCCCTCTTCCCCAATCCTGCCTGCCTCCTCCCACCACCCTCAGGCCCCAGCCTGTGTCCCTGCCAGATGCATGTCAGTGTGCCTTTGACAGAGTGAAGTGTTTTTGCCCAAGGGCCCCCCAGGGACTATGGGACCAGCCTTTGTCCCTCTCAGTCCCCCATCTTCCAGGCCACTTGAGGACCATCTCCCACAATCCCGCACTTGTGTCTGATTGCTGAGCAGTAATGGCCGATGCTTCCAGACAACTCCCATGCCCAGGGTCCATCCTGCTGGCCTCCTCCTGACCCCGTGGCTCAGATCCAGACACAGAGACCTGGATGGGCCACTTGGAAGAGGATCCCACTTCCCGAACTGTCCGTATATCCTCTTCAATTCCTGAAAACTCTCAGGCCCTCAGGGTGAGGGGCAAAAGCCAGTCATGGCCGCCACATCAAGGCCATTAGGCCGGTCCTCCCCCCATCAGCAAATGCACAGCATGAGCCCAGCACCCCAGGGTCCTCCCGGTTCTGCCCCCTGCACAGGTGTCCCAACACAGCCCCAGGGGATGCATCAGGACAAGTGAGTGAGGCGTGGTCTGTCCCGTGCCCGGGTCGCCTGGATGGACAGGGCAGACATTCGGGTCACGTTTCAATGGGCTCCGGCAGCCTCACATGGCAGTTCCCGGGGCTGTACATCCCTTCACCCAGGGCAAGAGGGTGCCAGGGCAAAGAGCTGAGCAGCCCTTGCCCCCATCACTGAAACCTTCTTTCTTTCCAGGGCACTGACGGGCTGCCTGTGCCTGGCTGCTGGCATAAGGTACCTTGTAGGGAAGTCTCCAGGGCAAGCAGGGAGACGTTGGTGGATAAGCAGGGCCTGGGGGTGGGTCTCTGCGGCTCCCTACAGTGACTGAACAGCCAGGTGTCCCTGTCACAAGCCTAGTTTTGACTCTCCCGTCGTGTGACCTGAGGCTCGGGGCCATAATCCTGGGTGATTATGCACAGCCCACCCTTAGCTGCTTGGGGCTCACTCGGTATCTGGCCCCGCCAGTGCCAAGCCATCAGCACCCCGTGGGACTTTGTCCAGACTGCCCCCCTCTACCCTCACCTCTTGAGCCTGGGACTAGGGGAGGGGGTGCTGCCTGTTCCTGTTCCTGGGGAAATGGGCAGGGTGGATGAGGTCCAGGCCAGGGAGGGGCCCCAGGGGCCTCACGGCCCCTCCTCACCTCAGTCTCTCCTTTTCCAGTGACCAGTGCCCAGCTCACCACCTGTACAGATCCATGTGGACATTTTTAACTTTTGTAAAAAACAAGACAGTAATATATTGATCTTTTTTCACGGGATGCACTGCCTGTGGCTTTTAACCTTTGAGCATGTGCCCGGCCCAGCCCCAGAGCAATCAGCATGTGAAGCTGACGGGAACGCGGACAGGCCGACCTGGAGCTGTGTGCCTGGTGAGGGGCCACCACAGGATTCGGTGTCTGGCTCAGAAGAAGCTGCAGAGATGCCGGGTTAGGCCTTCAGTCCCCTGATTGGCAGAGAGTCTGGCTGCCCTACAAGGCCTGCCCCCTGAAGCTCCAGGGCCCTTGTGGGGGGGCCCCTGGGGCATGGACCACCCTGCAGCTGCTCCGGGCCTCTCCAGCCAGAGCCAGCTGCTCACCCTCCTGGACCCTGGGTTCCCGGGGAAGGACAAGACTCCCGCCCAGCACTTGCAGCTGGATACAGGGAGCTGTGGAAAGCACCCCACGCAGGTCCAGCTCTCACCACATTCATGAGGCCTCAGGAAGCCAGCCTGTTTGAGAACACGTGTCCTCTGGCCGGGAGTACAGGCCAAGCACTGTGATCACCACCATGTGGACCCACCTGCGGGGACCCCCCCCACACGGTGCCCAAGTGCGGAGGATGGCGAGGCCCATGCTGGAGGGGCTGCTGCTTCCTGTCGGACCCCGCTGCCCAGAGCAGGGATGTGATGAGACTGCCTGCCGGAGGAGATGGGCCTTTAGCTCAGAGCTGGGGTCTCACCGGCCCCAGGCTCCCACCCAGGAGAACTCTGGTCAGCCAGCCGAAAGCGGTCTTCCGGGGGAACTGTGCAGACGGAGGGCACCCGGTGTGGTTCCTGGCCGGCCTGAGCAGGGGGCCTGCAACCTGCGCGTCGGGCTCTAAGGAAAAGGCGTCCCCGCCTCTGACAAAGGTCCCCAGCCACCAACTCTGGCCCGGCTGCTCGCCTCCCCTCTCTGTGTAGATAGGTGTTGCTGTGTGTAATAAACCACGAATTTGTGTCCGGTGGAGCCGGTCCTTGCAGACTGCCCCTGGGGCACCTCTGGCTAAGGTTTCAGCCTGGCCATTGCAAAGTGGGGAGGGACGGAAACCAGAGAAAGCCACCCCAGAAACCAGAGGAAGTAGCCCAGGGCCATGGGGTTACGTTTGGAAGACACAGACACGAGGCCTCGTCCTGCCACGTCCCAGCTGAGCCTTCTGGACAGTCACATCCCGGAGCCGTGACTGCTGCATAGAAAGTCACCCCAAAACTTGTTGCCTTAAAATAACGATCCTTTATCTTTCTCTCTCACAGTGCTGAGGTCAATGGGCTCAGGGGGGTGGCTGTGGCTCAGACTCTCCCACACCTGGTAGCCGATGCTGGGTGTCCGCTGGGAGGTGAGATGGCCAGAACGCCTATCTGTCATGGTCTGGCTCCTCACGCTGAATCCCAGGAGGGATTGTTCCATGGCGAACCAGGCGGAAGCTGTGTCACCTTTTATGGCCGAGCCTCAGAAGTCATATGGTGTTGCTTCCTGCCACAATCAGTGGTAACGTTTTCAAGGGAAAAGTGTCAACATCATAGTTTAAGGAGGAAATGTAAGGTAGCTCTTGTTGCCACCTCATCTATAAAAAGGGACAGTGATGCCTACACTCTGACTGTGGTTGATGAGGACCAACTGTGTGGAATACAAGAACTCACTCAGGTCAGGGCAGGCACCTGGCAGTTCCCATGATTCTGAATTCTTGCTCTCTCCCCCACTCCAAGACCAAGCAAGGGCCATAGTCTTTTTTTGTTTTTTGTTTTTTTAAGATATATTTTATCGATTTTTCACAGAGAGGAATAGAGAGTCAGAAACATCGATGAGAGAGAAATATCAGCCAGCTGCCTCCTGCACACACCCCCACCGGAGATGTGCCCGCAACCAATGTACATGCCCTTGACCGGAATCGAACCTGGGACCTTTCAGTCCGCAGACCTACGCTCTATCCACTGAGCCAAACCGGTTTTGGCAAGGGCCATAGTCTTGCAAAGCATTTCCACATTGTTTATTCCAGCTGGTCCTTAAAACAACCCTGAGAGGGGGACCCAGCAAATATGCCCATTTCACAGATGACAAAGCCAAGCACATCTGGGGTAGTATACTAGTAGACAAGGCCTGTATGACAGCATCTTAGGCCTTCTGTCTCCAAGGACTGAGGCCTAAGGAGGGACATGGTCTGAGTAGTCCCCCTGACCCCTACCATGTGGCCTCCTCACTAAGCAGAAGAGCCCTACACCAGCTAAGGAGGAGGAATGTGTCACGTCTTCACCTCTGTCTCCCTCAGTGGCTGGCGGTACGTGGCAGGCCCACTGCTCAGCCAGTTGTCCTGATCACTAGGGAAGCCATTAGTGTGAAAAGGAAGAGAAACACAGTGGGGCTGTGATGACTGATGGACATCACAAGTTGTCCAAGTGTCCAATGGCATTCCAGCATAACCTCACAGATCTACTGCACTCTACAGTCTGTAAATTCACTCCTCCCTCCACTCAGGTACCTCATGGATCCCCCCAGACCCTATGTGATTCATGTCATTATTTCCATTTTGGGGAAACTGAAACGCTGAGGTAATAACCCTCTGCCTAGGGATAAACAGCCAGGATTGTCTTTCTGAAATTGCTTGTCAGGCCCAGTGTCTGCTAGGCAGCACCATGCTGCTGGGTGATTGGTGGGTAGATCTTCTTAGAAGCCACGTGTGGCCCCTTCCTCAGACACCAGAGAAGGTCCCTTTCTTGCTCCTTTGGATAGGGCAAGGTCCTTATGGCCCATTGCTGCCCCCTTGTGGCCTCACACAGTATATCCTCAGGTCTGCAAACTTCTAATTTTAGAGGGTACAGATTGCTTCAAGAGCTTGGAGTGGGAAGGAGAGGCTAGAGAGAATGATTTGCTCGAGGTCCCAGATGAGACATGGGTGAGTGCCTTGCCCCACAGAAGAGCATCAAGGTCCAAGGGTTTCACATCTCCCTGATAAGAACTACCCCCTTCCAGAAGAAAGGGAAGCACATTTATTGAGTCCCACAGTGTGCCATGGCAGCTAAACTAACCACAGAAATTCCTCCCCATGAGAGGAGCAGGGTTTCCCTCCTCCTGATCCCTAGTATACTACATGGGATAGTTTTGGGTGTTCAATGACAGAGATACTCCTCGAATTCAGTGGGCAGGGCTAGGGATATCAAACATCTGAAAGGCATGGACAGTCCCGTCTCATGATGAATCATCTCAATGAGAATGCCAGTGCTACCTGCATTGAGAAACACCATGCCCTAGGTTCAAATTTTGACTCAGCTACTTCCTCCTATTCCCTGCCCTCCTGGCCTCCAATGGCCCCCAGAAGGCTGGGCATGAAATAATAGGTAGAGGAGTGCTTAGCCTGGGGCCAGAGGCAGAAATGAGCGGGTTTTTCTGAGCAGGAAGGAGAGGCTTCCTGGAGTTGACCTGCCCCTTGGCCCGGGAAATGGCCCAGCTGGGAGGCCTGGCTTGACCTCCAACTGATTTGCCACCTGACCCTGGACATCTGGAGAGTGAGTGAGATGAGAAGTGGCTGCAATATTCTCACCCTCAACCCTGAGACTAAAAAAGCCCTGAGACAACCTAACTTCTCTGAGCTGCCCTGGGCCACAAGACAGATTCGTTTGTGGGCTCAAGACAGGGCCAAAGATGAACCCCAAAGGGTTGCCTGTGGCCTGTACTTCGTTTCTGAGCGTCAAAGACCCCTCCCCTGTATGTGGGAAAAATTTTTGGTTAATTTGGGAGGAGTTTTATTTTCAATCATACATAAGGTTCAGTTCAGCTTTACAATGAAAAGAAACTCTATCCCGTTTAGAAGATGAAACGTTCTGGAGGTGGATGGGGGTACGGTTGCACAAAGTGAACGTAAATTTTATGTCATGTAGATGTTTCCACAATAATAGGGAAAAAGAAACTCCAACTATTCTTTAATGAATGCTCTAATAAACATTTTACATTTTTATGGGGAAAGAGACAAAGGAATCAGCGTTGAAGGAGCAAAGCAGAGAGCTGTAATCCCTTGTTCTAGGGTTCATCAAGGCCGAGTCCCAGTGCCCCACCCCAGGAGGGCTCTCTCTGCTCTGCCAGCTTTGCATCACCTCCCTCCTAGGGGGCGTTTCCTCCCGCTCCCAGGGCTGGGAGGCAGGCCGGCCTGAGCTGCACACCTGCTGTGTGAGAGCCAAGTCCTTGCCGGTTCCGGGCCTCGGTGTCCTGGCCACGTGCTTACTCTGAGGCTCAGGAGTCCTCCCCACTCTCCTCCTGCCTAAACACTTGATGCTCCATTAGCACGGACACAGCTCGCGGTCACCGGCCTGGAGTCCCAGCAAACACTCACGGCGCGTCCCAACGTTATGCACCGGGAAGGCGGCTCCGTGACTGAATCCGGAGCCCCGATCCCGCCAGGGGAGCAACAGCGAGCGCACCTGGGGACCGCTACCCGCGGAGGTTTCCTTGGGATCACTTGGTTGTAAGAAACCGGCCAGGCTCGTTCCCCGAAAGAATTGACGAACCTGAAACGGGCCGCGGGAGGGGGTGAGAGGGGGCGGCGCCGCAGAGGGGAGGGGCGGGGCCACGACAGGGAGGGTGGAGCTAAAGCGGGCGGGGCGGGGCCGCAAATGGGAGGGGAGGGGCCACGGCAGGAAGGGGCGGGGCGAGTGAGGGGCGGGGCCGTCCGGCGCTCCTCTGCGCACCGGCCGGGCGTCATGGCCGCGGACTCCGACCCGCACGGGAAAGCTGCGACGCTGGCGCGGAGGCGGCGGCTGCTCAGGTAAGGCGCGGGGGGCGCGCACGCACGACCCGTTTGCTCTGCGCGAAGCCGCCGGCCCAGCCCGGCTTTCTAGTTCGAGCCTCGGCCCTGCGGGCAGCTGCTTGCCCTCGGCCCACCCTGCGACTCGGGGCCGAGCTCTTGGCCCGTTTCCCCCGGAGAAGGCCTCCTGCCGGGCACCGGGAGGACATCGCCAGGAGCGGCCCCGCTACGGGGCTGAAGTTGGGACGCCGGCGGGGTGGGAGGCGGTTCACCGGCGGCCGGGGAGAACCTGGGCGGGACTCTTGGTGGGACGCGGGCGCGCGGCAGCCTCTGGCGGAGCCTGGAGTCGGCGGGCAGCGGGGCGGGCAGCAGGGGAACGGCACTGACCTCCCTGACACCCATCCCAGCAAAGAAACACTGCCCTAGGGAGCCTGAATGAGTCTGGGGCGGCCACCTTTTCCCGGGATCCGAGGATAGATTGGTGATGCGGACACGTGCGGAAATGAATGAGGCCACTGAACTTTAACATGACTTAAACAATTTAAGTTTTAGCAACTGCTTCCACCCTCCATCCCGCTTTTCCGCCTTCCCAGCCCTCACCTATGTGGGGGAACTGGAGGCAGGGAAGCAACACGGTGCCCCTCAAGCTTTTTTCACCCTTTCCAGAAACTGGAAGGGTGGGGGAGGCCTGTGGTGGGTGGACTCTCCCTTCAGGCCTTCAGGCATGGCTGTCCACTTTTTTTTTTTTTTTTTTTTTTTTTTTTTTTTTTTTTTTTTGCCGGTCTTCACAGCTCTTCCTGCAGACTCTTTTTTCCTGAGGATCCTATTAAGATTGTCCGGGGCCAAGGGCAGTACTTGTATGATGAACAGGGAGCAGAATACATCGATTGCATCAACAATGTGGCTCACGGTCAGTACCATCACTCGGGCCGGCTGGGCAGGCGAGGAGGCCAGGGCTGCGAACCTGGTCCAAGGGTGGTCCTGAGGTGCAGAAAGGTGCGGAGAACTGGGGTTGAGCTGAGCAGAAGAGGCCCAATCTTTCTGGTGTAGCTGTCAAAGTTCCCAAGTAGGAGCGGTGCTAAACCAGGCAGTAGTCTGAGACCCTTGTCTGGGAGTCCAGTCCCACCTGGGACTGATGGCAAGCTGAGAGAGCAGCAGTCAGTCCAGCCACGACCAGCAGTGGTCTCCCCCGGCCCAGTGCTGGGGGTCATGGCAAGGCCTCAGCCCCAGTGACCACCTCAGGTCCTAGGGAAGAAAACGGAAGTAGGAATTCCGTTATCCAGAACGGGTGGCCAGAGCCAGTGGGAGGAAAGCGAGTCTGACTGAGCAGGCTCCTTGGAAGTTAATAAAGTAGAGGCTCTAATCCCAGAACGCCTGGGTTTATACCCTGTCCTTCACTTATTTGTAATTTTAGGCAAGTCTCTTAACCTCTGTTCCTCATCTGCAAAATAGACATGATAATGCCGAGGATCCACCTGAGAGTGGTTTGGAGGGTTCACTGAGTTCATTCTTGTAATTTGGTTTGCATGTGCCTGGTACCCTGCGGGCTCCCAACACGTGTTTGCTGTTAGCATCATCTTGGGCGGCTGTTACCTTCAGCCCCCGCTGACTGATGAGGTCAAGCCCTCAGGCAGACACTCCCCCTCCATGTAGCACATCACCTCCCTCCAAGGACGTGGCTTTCTAAAGGGGGTTTCCGCCAGAATCCGTTCTCAGTCTCCCTTTCCAGAACTGGCATGTGTCTCCTGCCTCTGCCTTTAGGCTCCCCCCTTCCCTCTCCACTTCTTCCTCCCATACTGAGTCTCCCCTGGCTGGGTGTACGGATTGGGGGTGGGGGAGGGCCGGAAGGATAGGATGAGCAGAGTCAGCTGTGTGATGGAGGTGGCCCTCTTCCAGTTGGGCACTGCCACCCTCTCGTGGTCCAAGCAGCACATGAACAGAACCAGGTGCTCAACACCAACAGCCGATACCTGCACGACAACATTGTGGATTTCGCACAGAGGCTGTCGGAGACCCTGCCAGAGAAGCTCTGTGTGTTTTATTTCCTGAATTCTGGGTAAGTGCATGCAGCTGGCCCCTTAGCAAGATGAGGAGAGTCGCTCACCAGTGAGCAGCAGAGTGTAGCCCACGGAGTGCGAAACGAAGGACGGCCCCAGCCGGCAGCCAGGGAAGGAAGGCCCTGGCCTGCAGTCAGAAGGCCTGATTGGCCCTGATTGCCAGCCAGGCCTAAGGACCCTAACCGTGCACAATCTCATGCACCGGACCTATAGTAGGATGTAAAGAGGCATAGAAGCAGACCTGGCCTGCTCTGAGAGGACTGGGAAAGGCTTCCCGAAGAAGTGATACTAGACTAAGAGCTGACGAGGAGATGAATAGATGAGGAGGAAGGGTGCCGCCCACCCCATCGTAAGTGTTCTCATCAGGTTAATTATCACACAGAACAGCCTGTGCAAAGGCTCTGCAGCAGAAGAGGCATGGTGCCCAGCACACTGGAGGAACTAACTATAGGCAGCCAGTGAGGGAGGGGAGAAGGGGAACAGGCACTGGGGAGGGAGACAGGGCCCATCATCCTGGACCTTATCAGGCAAATAAAGACGTGTTTTTATCCTAAGAGCATTGGGAAGTCGTCAGAGGATTTTGATCAGGCAGGTGATGTCATCAGGGCTGGTGGAGAGGGAGAATGGACACCATTAAGTGCCATTTCAGCAGCCAGGTGACAGATGATGGCAGCACACACTAGGAAGAGGCAGAGTGGCAGGCGATGGCATGTACATAGAACCAGCATTCTGAGAGAACATTCCAACAAATCGTAGGTTGAGGCATTTAGATTATAGTAAGTATTTTTATCATTATCATTGCCACTGACATAGTACATCAATCAGTCCCCTCCAGTTTTTCTAGGAAGTGGAATTTACATCTTCATTTTATAGATAAGGAAACAGTTTATTTTTTAATACTTTTCACTTCCTCAAAATTGTAAGGAAAATACATATGAATGGATATACATTTTTATATAATAAATATTTCTTAAGATAAAAATATAAATTACAATTCTACATATGATCAAATAAGTGTAAAAATTCATGTTTACGCAGAGGAAACGATTAAACTGGAAGTGTGTGTGTGTGTGTGTGTGTGTGTGTGGAAAGAGCAGTTTAAAGGAAGCTAGTGTGCCCAGAGCCACCCGCATAAGGAATGGAAGCCGTAGCTGGAGCCTCGCTGGGAAGAGCAGGGAGCTGGCTGCAGGAGTGGGGCTTCCTTGGCAGCGGAGGAAGGGACATTTGCTGGCTTACTCCACCAGATTCACTCTGTGGGTTCCAGCAACTTCCGTGCTGCCAAATGCAGTGGTCTCTGCTGCCTTTGTCTTATTCTGTCTCTCAGCAATACTGACAGTTACCACTCTCTCTAGAAATGCTTCTGGTCTGGCTTCCAGGGCACTGCGCATCCTCACTCTCCCTAGCTTCTGGCTGCTCCTCCTGTCTCCTCTGTTAACTCCTCCTCTGTGCCTCAGGGCAGGTCCTCTCTGAACCTCTCCCTCCTGATCTCTTCCTTCCCATGGGATTACCTAGCGTCCTCGGGCTACTTACTCCCAAACTTGTCTCTCAAGCCCAGATGCTTCCCATGTGTTCTAACCACCCCCTTGACTTCTTGAACATCAGCTTCACGTGTGGAAAAGGCAATAAGGACATGATTGTCTTCTGCCAGCACCTGGAGTGGGACCATGGCCCCAGCTCTCCCTTCCTTTTCTAGGCACTCATCCCAGATCTTCCCAAGAGGACATCCCCTCACTACCACCCGCACCCTGTCTTGCCTGGTAAACGGCAGAACCATCTGCATCTCTGCTCATGGCAGAAACCCTTCTCCCAGTCCTGGCTCACCTCTAGGATGGCTCCATCCACTTCCCTTTCTCCTCATGGCCACCACTACTCTCACTTGCCTGTCCTCCTCCTTGCTCTCCTCACTCCCACATTTTTTTTTTTTCATTGAAATAGTGTGTTCTTTTTATTTTAATCTGTGACTGCTGTGGATGGACAAGGGGCCACCTTCCAAACCTGGCAAGCTCAGGGGATTTACTTTCACTTTGATTTCCTTCTACTCCATCACACACACAAAGCCAGAGGCCTCCTCCTCAAATGGAAGCTGAATCGTGTCTCTTCGCTGGTTAAAGCTCTTCAGTGCTGCTTGCTGTGCTGGAAACGCCCCCTGAGCTTTTAGTGCAGCTGTTGCCTCCTCATGGAGCCCTCCTGACCCCGTCCTCGCTCAGGCTGCCGTAGCAAATGCCCCCGGCCGCCCTGAGGCTTCAACGGCAGCCATTCGTCTTCTCACCGTTCTGGACGCCAGATCCAAGATGAAGGCGTTCGGAGATTTGGTTTCTTTAAGGCCTCTCTCCTCAGTTTGCAGGTGGCCATCTGTCTCCATATGGTCTTTCCTCTGTGTGCAGGAGCCCTTGGTGTCTCTGTGTCCACACTTCCTCTTAGAAGGACATCACTCAGGTTGGATGAGGGCCCACCCTAAGGGCCTTATTTTAACGTAATTATCTATTTAAAGGCCCCATCTCCAAACATAGCCACATTCTGAAGACTTCAGCATATGAATTTTGTGGGACCCACAATTCACCCCATAGCACCCCCTTATCTAAAGTAGGGTCCCATCTGGTCCTTTTGAGTGAACATTCTTTTTTTTCTTTGGTGTTTGGATTTTTTGGAATGGTTTTGTTTGTTTGTTTTTTGCTTTTGTGACACAAACCAGAATGTAGGTTCCAGGAGGGTCAGGGTCTATGTGTTTCACTGTTTTGCCCCTAGTCTTAGCACACAGGAGGAAGGCCTTTGATGGATTTGTACCTAGTTACTAATGAATGATGTCCCAAGAATCTTCTTGCTGCTGGCGGGGCACCACCTTCCTCTGGGTTTCCCTGTGGGAAGCAGGCCCCCAGGAAGGAAAGCCCTTAGCTGTCTGAGCAGTGCCCACCTTTTCTGTTGTAGGTCGGAGGCCAATGACCTAGCCCTGCGGCTGGCCCGCCAGTACACAGGACACTGGGACGTGGTGGTATTAGACCAGTAAGTGCCATTCCCAGAAGCTTGGCCCACCACTTTTTGGGGATCAATGAGGCTATAACTTTGGGTGCCTTGGGCAGGAAGGATGAGGGACCATCGCTGCAGAGACTCCCCAACACACTCCCAGAGGCTCTTTGCCCTGGTCTCTTCCAGGAGGGCAGCTTCTGGGAAGCTGAGGAAGCTTTGTGAGGGGTTAAGAGTTGGTCCCACATTTGAGGTATTAAAACTGTTCCAACAGTGGCTCCCATGTAGTATGTACTGCACAGGCCTGGGGCCAGGATTAGCGCTTTAGCACATCCAAGGTCATTACAACCCTAAGGAGAAGCCACTGTACAGAGGAGAGAACTGACCCCAGAGAGCCTAAGTGATGAGCCCCTGTTCCACGGCCTCAGAGGAAGTCTTACTGACCCCACAGCCTGTGCCCATCCCCACCCTAGGACTAGGGGGCTGTGTCAGAAAGGTGTGTCTCCTGAGGAGGGTAGATGCTGGTCAAGGCCAGGCCAGAGACTCGCGCCACCTGGGCCTGAGCCCACCCTCCCTTCTCCTCCCCAGTGCTTATCATGGTCACCTGAGCTCCCTGATCGACATCAGCCCCTACAAGTTCCGGCACCTCGATGGCCAGAAGGAGTGGGTCCATGTGGTATGCACGGCCCAAGGGGGCAACAGGTCGGTGGCCACCCCGAGCCTGTGTGACACGGTGCTGTCACTCCCCACAGGCACCCCTCCCAGACACATACCGGGGCCTCTACCGGGAGGACCACCCCAACCCGGCGGAGGCCTATGCCCGTGAGGTGAAACGTGTGGTCAGCAGCGCACAGGAGCAGGGCAGGCAGGTAACTATTTGCATGGCTCCAGCCCAGCCAACAGTGACCATCACTTCCTCTGTTGCTGCTGGTGCTAGATACAGAGAACCCGGAGAGACTCCGAACCAGAGATGTGTCCTGGGGCCCAGGCTGGGCTGGTTTGGATTGTGAAGGAGGGTCCTTCGAGAAGGTACTGCCTGATTTCAGTAATATGAGTTGGAGGTAAAAGAGGAAAGCATCCTAAATAGAGGGTAAGGAACCATCAAGTGGGACACCAGGCTGAGCGGGCAAGAGGCGAGCCTGGAGAGGCAGGTGGACCCGATGCCAGAGGCCCCCAGGTGCCGTGCCGAGGGGCTGGAGACCATGGCAGACCTCCGAAGAGTTTGAAGAAGGAGGGTAATAAGACTAGAGAGAAAAAAAAGAAAAAAGACTAGAGATACACTTGAATGGGGCCAGCCTGAAGGTGAGTAAGCAAAGTGGAGTGCCCAGCCCAGGTCAGCGTAGTGGAGATGGAAAGAGCAGAGACAGAACATATGAGTTGTACCTGGAAGAGCAGCAGCCACAGTGACAGTAGAGGGGAGGTGGTTAGTGATGGGAGTGAGGGCTCTCTGGGTATACCGGTAAACACAGAATATAACAGCAAAGGCAGGCAGGCTACAAGGCCAGAAAGGTTAGCAGAGCCAGATCTGGGAAGGCTGGTCTATGTGTTTCAGATACTCTACACCCACTTACATAAAACCAGAAAAGAGGTTGTTCTGGTGGCAGCAGGGCTGAGGGACCAGTTTTCTACCCTATTTACTTTTCCCTCATCCAGCTGAAGCTTCTAAAGAAGCTTTAAGGCAGAACATAGTTGGGAAGTCATTACTGTGAGCAGAAGGGGTCATGAAAGGGTTTCAAACCAGGAGAGCTTGGTGTCTGGGTTGAGGCATCACCCGGGTGGCTAGTTGGAGGATGGACTAGAAAAGGCATCCAGTTCGAAGACCCTGGCAGGAGGCCAAGGCAGAAACTGGCAGATCTGTGGGAGACTGAGGTGTCCAGGTGGATGGCAAGGAGTGGGTGCAGAGATGATACAGAGGAAGTCAGGCTGTGCTGACTGATGGATGAAGGAGGGGGCTGGATCAGGGATGGGGCAGGGGAGAAACAGGCTTGTGGGGGAGAATTCAGTGGATTTTTTCTGAGGCATGCTAAGTATAGGAGTCTGGAGGCATCCAGGTTGTAAGAATTGGTTTGAGGGCTGAATCTAGAAAACAGATGTGATGAGGAGCCCGAACTAAGGGTGCAACAACTGCTTGGAGCCAGCCCTGAGCCAGCATCAGCAGGACTCTGAATTTGCCCCAGCACCTCCAGGTCAGTGTTCCTGACATCTCCTCTTGTCCACAGATTGCCGCATTCTTCGCTGAGTCTCTGCCCAGTGTGGGAGGGCAGATCATTCCCCCTGCTGGCTACTTCCCAGAAGTGGCAGAGTAAGGAGGGGAAGCTCCAGGGAGGCCAGGGCTGTAATGCGGTTTCCCAACCTTTGTTCCAAATGACATCCTCCATCTCACCTGTTAGCCAGAGTTTTCGAAGCCCCTGAAAAAATAGTGGCCCCCTAGAAGGCCATCCATCTGCCTAAGGCCTCAACCTCACCGTTGGCAGAGCCAGGATTCAGAGTCCCAAGGCCTCCCAGCTCCTGCTCTGATCCCTCTCACCACAGTCGCCCCGTCGGCCGTCAGCCCTCTGTCCTCTGCCACAGGCACATCCGCAAGGCTGGAGGGGTCTTTGTTGCAGACGAGATTCAAGTGGGCTTTGGCCGAGTCGGCAAGCACTTCTGGGCCTTCCAGCTGCAGGGGGAAGACTTTGTCCCTGACATTGTCACCATGGGCAAGTCCATTGGCAATGGCCACCCTGTAGCCTGTGTGGCCACAACCCAAGCTGTGGCAAGAGCATTTGAAGCCACCGGTGTCGAGTACTTCAATACGGTGAGTGAAGGCTCCGGGGAGCACTGAGGGTTCTTCTAGGCCCCAGACAATCTGAGCAAGGCCACAGACCCGGCACTGTGCCACCACAAAGATGTCTAAGGTGCTGTGGGGGTGGGTGGGGCCAGGGAACAGTAAAGCAGGTCAGAGGAAAATAACAAACCTCTTTAAGATTAGTGGCAAGAGATCATGCCTCATAAAACATATAGGCCCTCTCCCCCTCCCAGCAGAAGCTGCCTACTGTGTGCAAGTCCCTGTGCTGCAAGCTGGTTAAAATGCATGAGGAGCTGTGTGGGGGTGGATGGCCTAGGATTAGTGCTCGGCTGCAGTGGGAGCATAGGGGAGGTGCGGTGTGAGATTGAGCGTTCCCTAAGTGAAGTGGGTCCCCGGTTGGAGGAGAAGCCACGGCATGTTCAGTGGTGCAAGAGCGCAGTTATGTGGCAGGTGAGGGGAGCATGTGGTCAGCAGGTGGCCTCCTGGTAAAAGAGCGGAGAGTGGACTAGTCCCCAGGGCTGTGAGAACTGTGGAGGGTGTTAATCTGTGAGAGACAAGATCTGAAATACACGTTAGAAGTTCTCAGTGTGGAGAAAGACTACAGGGAGGCAAGAGAGAAGGAGCCCGAATCTGGACACAGGAGAATAGGGAAGGACAAAGATTGAGGGAAAGAAGAACACACTGTCACCTCCCTAAGAAGAGTCAGTTTGAACTGGGGCCTGAAACATGTCAGGATTGAGCAGGATGGTTGAGATTTGTCAGAGGTTTTTAAGGACGAAAGCGGTGCTCAGCAAACTCACTACATACCCAGCTGAGACATAGACAGAGCCTCTGCCCTAAACAAGTTCACTTCAGAGGGCAGATGGGTTCATAAACCTGCTCACGTGGTGCGGAAAGACCTAACGGGAGCAGTGTGTTCACAGTGCCTGGAGGGCACAGGGACGCGCGTAAGAGCACGCAGAAGAGGAATGGAAGGAGCAGGGGAGGATTCCTATGGGTGTGGGAGGATGAGGAGGAATTGGCCCTGCGAGGAGGAAGGAGTGGGTTGTGATAGACAACCCATTGGAGCCAGAGCCTGGTGTTTGTGTCTGTCTGTCCGTCTTGAAGCGCACATGGATTATGTAGTCAGGACTATTTCTATCTTTCTATCCCTCTCCCCTCCTATCTCTAAAATCAATTTAAAATATATTTTTAAATATGCAATATAGTATTTTTTTTTTAATCCTTACCTGAGGATATTTTTCCATTGATTTTTAGAGAGAGTGGAAGAAAGAGGGAAAGAGAAATATTGATGTGAGAGAAACCCATCGATTGGTTGCTTCCTGAATAAGTCCCAACCAGGGCCCAGGCCAAGGAGGAGTCTGCAACCAAGGTATGTGCCCTTGACAGGAATCAAACCCAGGGACCCTTCCATCCACAGGCCAACACTCTTTCCACTGAGCCAAATTGGCTAAGACTGCAAAACAGTTCTTTTAATTGTAGTCACCTTATTGTACATTATTTTATGGACTTATTTGGGGACGTTTGACCATTATTTCTATTTTTCATTCTGCCCCTTTCTCCTCTCCTTCTGTGACTCCCATTGACATATGTTGGTATACTCAATTATATCTCACTTGTCTCTGAGGCTCTGTTCTTACTTCCCCCCCCCCCATTCTTTTTTCTCTCTGATTTTCAGACTGGACATATTTGTCTCAATTGACATATTTCTAGTTTGCTGATCCTTTCATCTGCCTGTCCAAGTCTACTGTTGAGCCTCTCTAGTGAATTTTTTATTTCAGTTACTGTGCTTTTCAACTCCAGAATTTGTTTGGTTCTTTTTTCTAATTTCTGTTTATTGATATTCTATATTTGGTGAGACCTTGTTTTCATGTTTTGCTTTTTAGTTTTTTTGGGTTTTTTTTTAACATATATTTTATTGATTTTTTACAGAGAGGAAGAGAGAGGGATAGAGAGTTAGAAACATCATTGAGAGAGAATCATCGATCAGCTGCCTCCTGCACACCCCCCACTGGGGATGTGGGGATGTGCCCACAACCATGGTACATGCCCTTGACCGGAATCGAACCTGGGACCTTTCAGTCCATAGACCAACACTCTATCCACTGAGCCAAACCAGTTTCGGCCTTTTTTGTTCTTTAGATATGGTTTCCTGTAGCTCTTTCAACATATGACACTTAAAGCCTTTGTCTAACAAGGCCAAAATCTGGGTTTCCTTAGGGAAATTCTCAGTTTCTATTGCTTGCTTTTCCTCTCCACCAATCCATATGCACCATGCTTCCTTCTTTCTTTTGTGGACAAAAAGGGGTTGCTATAATAAATGATAATTTCTGCCTGGCCAGTGTGGCTCAGTAGTTGAGCATCAACCTATGAATCAGGAAGTCAGTCAGGGTACATGCCCAGGTTGTGAGCTCAATCCCCAGTAGAGGGCATGTAGGAGGCAGCCTTCAATTATTTTTTCCATTGATGTTTCTATCTATCGCCTTCTCCCTTCCTCTCTGAAAGTAATTTTAAAAAAAATTTTTTAAATCATAATTTCCTGACTGGGCAGTTCATGGTGGATAGTCCCACCCAAGCCTATAACTTTTTTTTCTTTTTGCCTGTAACTTATGAGCTAAGGTTTAAGCAAGCCTTCCCACTGTTCTCGTGCATGTAAGTTAAGACACCTTTAAAATGCCAGATAAGAGATCAACCGAAGGACTTGTATACATGCATATAAGTACAACCAATGGACACAAAACTCTGGGGAGGGAGGGTATGTATGGGGAGGGCAATGTTAAAATATGTACACAGATAATAATTTAATAAAATAAATAAATAAATAAAAATTTAAATTTAAAAAATGCCAGAATAACCCTTAATATCCTCAAGAGAACACATCATCTTAACTATCCTAAAATCCAATCCCTGAAACCACCTTTAATCTTTTCTATATTCCCTTAATTTCAAATACATAAAATAAACTCAAAAACTGTCATCCCCTGATGGGTCCTGGATTGCGAGAGGGCTCAAATACTCTTGAGCATTTGAAATCTTGCTTGTTTTGCTTGTCAGTTTTGGCTCAAGTACTCATAAAAATTCTTTACAGCCCTGGCTGGGTGGTTCAGTTGGTTAGGGCATCATACTGACGCACTGGGGTTACATGTTTGATCCCCGGTCAGGGCCAGTGTGGGACTCAACCAGTGAGTGCATGGTTAGGTCAAACAGCAAATCAGTGTTTCTCCCTCTCTTTCTCTCTCTCTCTCTCTCAAATCAGTAAATTAAATTTTCTACAAGTTTGGATGTTTTCTTACGTCAACAATGCATGTTTGTTTTTTTTGTTGAAAACTGGACATCCTATATAATAAAAGCCTAATATGCTGTTTGTTTTATTTTTTTTAATAATTTTTATTTTTTTTAAATATATTTTATTGATTTTGTACAGAGAGGAAGGGAGAGAGATAGAGAGTTAGAAACATCGATGAGAGAGAGTCATCGATCAGCTGCCTCTTGCACACCCTCTACTGGGGATGTGCCCGCAACTAAGGTACATGCCCTTGACCGGAATCGAACCCGGGACCCTTCAGTCCCCAAGCCGACGCTCTATCCATTGAGCCAAACGGGTCTCGGCAATATGCTGTGTTTAGTCGACCAGTTGGCCGTTCAGCCAATCAAAGCATAATATGCTAATGATGTGCTAAGACTGCTCAACTGCTCGCGATGATGTGCGCTGACCACCAAGGGCAGACATTCCAACTGGTAGGTTAGCTTGCTAGAAGGGGTCCAGCCAATTGGGACTAAGACAGATCGGACATGCCCTAGAACCCTCCTGCAGTCCTTCCCTGGCCCTGATCATGCACCAGTGGGGTCCCTCAGCCTGGCCCGTGCCCTCTCACAATCCAGGACCCAAAAGGGGATGTCAGAGAGCCAGTTTCGGCCCAATCCCAAAGGCCAGGCCTCTAGTTTTAAATAATATAATGTGGCAGCTTTGGAAATCATAGTATCTCATTGTAGTCTATTGCTTTTTGTTCTTTGTATTATGCCTTCTTTGAACTAATTCTGTAAATCTGTTCTTTGTCATGAATAGCCACTGTAGTCTCTGCTTGGTTAGCTTAGTAATTATCTAATGATTGGGCAGACATCGCCTTAAATGCCTGGAACCGAGGTCTCTCAGCCTCTCACAAGAGTTGACGTGTTGTGGTGTGGGTAGGGTCTGCTTCAATACTCAGCCAAGCACTTTACAACTCAGCCTTAGCCTTTCCTTCCTCCTCCTTCGGAGCCGCAAGACTTTTCAGATCTTTCCTGAACGTGAATTCCGCATTGGGCATGAGCATATCCCTACACATATGCATGGCCTTCTAGATTTCCAAAAATGTGTCAAAGCTTTCATTCATTTTCTTTCTATTGTCCCTCTGGGGTGGTCTTAGGGGTAAAGACTTATCTATTGTGCTCGTTGAGAATCTTGGGCAGGTCATGATTCTACACCAAAGACACACTCCCTTTTAGCAAGTTCATGGTTAAATAATATACAATATGTAGCTTCATTATATCCTTTGTCCATTCCACACATAATTTTTGACCTATAAAAAAGCTGCCTCATAGCAGAATCACCTTGGTAGCTTTTTGTGATCTCAAGTATGGGGCTCTGCATACAAATTTTCAAGATAATCTCAGGATACCACTACACACCCATTAGAATGGCTACAATTAAAAAGACTGACAAGCCTGGCCAGGGTGACTCAGTTCGATGGGCGTTGTCCCATGTACCAGGAGGGTTGAGTTCAATTCCCGGTCAGGACACATGCCTGGGCTGTGGACTGGATCCCCAGTGGGGAGGGCATTAGGTAGGCTGTGGATTGATGTTTCTCTCTAAAACCAATGAAAAGATAATATTTTAAAAAAAAAACAAAAACTGACAATTCCAAATGTTTTTAAGGATGTGGAACTACTGGAATTCATAAGTCTACGAAAGTAATGATACCACTACTTTGGAAAACTTTTTTATAAAATCAACTATACATTTATCATATAATCCAGCAGTCTGGTATTTACCCAAGAGAAATGAGAATATATGTTTACAAAAGAACTTGTTATAAATATTAATGTTTTATTCTTAATAGTAAAAATCAAAATAACCCAAGGGTTCATCTACAGGAGATTGAATAAACAAATTATGGTATGTCCGTACAATGGGATACTGTGCAACAACAAAACGAACTAATACATACCAAAATGGATAAATTTCAAAAACACTTTTAGTAGAAGCAACAAGGCACAAAAGGGGTACATATTCTGTGATTCCATTTATATTATATGACATTCTGGAAAAAGCAAAACTGTAATGACAGAAATCAGGTCAGTGGCTGCCTGGACCAGTAGTGGAGGGGGATACAAGTAACTGGAAAGTGATGGAGATTTTGCTCATCGATGTTTCTTTTTTTTCCTTCTTTTTTTTTTTTTTTTCTCATCGATGTTTCTAACTCTCTATCCCTTTCCCTTCCTCTCTGTAAAAAAATCAACAAAATATATTTAAAAATAAAATAGAGTTTGCACTAAAAAAAAAAGTGATGGAAATGTGTTGTGTCCTCATTGTGGTGAAGGTTCTAATTTTACACATTTGTCAAATCATATTGAATTACAGTCAAATCATTGAGCTATAGCATAATGTTTTGGTCAACAACAGACTCATTGATGTAAGAACATCTGAACCTGCCCTAGTTTGTTTGGCTTAGTGGTTAGAGTGCCAGTCTGCGGACTGACGGGTCTCAGGTTTGATTCTGGTTAAGGACACGTCGTACCTTACTTCCATTGCAGGCTTCATCCCCGGCACCAGTTGGGGCACGTGCTGTGGCAACCAGTCAATGTGTCTCACATAGGTGCTCCTGTCTTTCCCCCTCCCTTACACACTCTTTTAAAAAAAAAAATCAATGGAAAAAATATCGTAGGGTGAGGGTTAACAACAAAAGCATGTAGAGAATTTTTGTAAAAAAATTGAGCCAGCCCAGCCGGCGTGGCTCAGTGGTTGAGCATTGACCCAAGAACCAGGAAGTCACTGGTTCAATTCCTGGTGAGGGCACATGCCCATATTGTGGGTTCCATCCACAATTGGGGGCGTACAGGAGGCAGCCCATCTGCGATTCTCTCTTATCATTGATGTTTCTCTGTCCCTTTCCCTCTCTCAAATCAATAAAAATATATTTTTTTCAAAAATTGAGCCAAAATTATGTCAAATCTGGCCAGTGTAACTCAGTGGTTAGATTGTTGGCCTGATAACCACAGGGTCTCAGGTTCTATTCCCATCAAGGGCATGTATCTAGGTTGCAGGAAGGATACCTGCGGGAGGCAGCCAGTTGATGTGGCTCTCTCACATCAATGTTTCTCTCCTTCTCCTTCCCTTCCATGGAGCCCACTCTGTGTGACTCAGTGGTTGAGTATGGGCACATGCCCAGTTGTGGGCTTGATCCAAATAGGGTGCATCCAGGAGGCAGCTGATCAATGATTCTCTCACCATTGCTATTTCTCCCTCTCCCTTTCTCTCTCTGAAGTAAATAAAAATTTATTAAAAAATAAGTGGGGGGAAAATATCCTCCAGTGAGGCTTAACAAGAAAAAAAAAAATATCTAACCACTGTTTTAAAATATTTAATGTCATCTTAGACTAATGTCAACTGTCATTGAAAAATTAAAGTAACAGAGTGGGAAATATTTGAGCCAGAGGATACACCTGGAAGCAAGATCTCAGTAGAATGAGAAAAGTGCTTCCAAGAATAGCATTTTGCAGCTTTTATGCCTTTGGAATTAAAGAGGGAACTAAGGAAAATTACAGTGAGACAGGTTTGGCTCACTGGTTGAGTATAGACCTATGAAGCAGGTCAGGGTTTGATTCCTGGTCAGGGCACATGCCCAGGTTATGGGCTCAATCCCCAGTAGGGGGCGTGTAGGAGGCAGCCGATTAGTGATTCTCATCATTGATGCCTCTCTGTTTCCTTATCCCTCTCCCTTCCTCTGCTGGACATCTGACATGCCCTTTGCCTCTGGCTCAGTTTGGGGGCAGCCCAGTGTCATGTGCAGTGGGGCTGGCCGTCCTGGATGTCTTAGAGAAGGAACAGCTGCAGGCTCACGCTGCCTGTGTAGGCAGCTTCCTGATAGAGCTCCTCGAGCAGCAGAAAGCCAAGCATCCTATCATCGGGGACATCAGGTGAGGCTTGGGGCAACAGTCACTACCCATTAACCAAGAACCTGCAAGAGGCCTAGAGTCATTTCTTCTTTCACCTCCTAACCACCTGGGATGGCAGGAGTCACCACAGGGGAATAGCTAAAGCACTGAGAGGGGCTGTTGTCCAGAGTGGCACTTTTAGGGATGGGAAAGGCTAGAATCAAATAGCTCTGACCACACACACACACACCCTACCCCCCACCACCACCTTCTTTCCTGTTGAAATTGAGGGCCCCTCCCCATTGCAATAACTTCCTATACACCACCACCAGTTCCTGTGACTCTGTCTCCAGTAGTGGTGGACTTTCCAATGGGACTTGGCTGAGAACAAGGCATAGGGTAAGGCCTGTGGTCCCTCAAGCCTGGACTCTGATATGTCGCCTTCTGCTCCAGGGGCGTCGGGCTTTTTATTGGTGTGGATTTGATCAAAGATGAGGCCACAAGGACGCCAGCCACTGAAGAAGCTGATTATTTGATATCCAGGTACTTTTTCTTCTAACAAGTTGCCTTTGCAGAGCTTCTGCAGGGCCACAGCAGAGACAGGGGATGGACAGGACTCCTGGCTCCTCATCTGGGTAGGTGTGTCTAGATGGAGTATCATCTCTGGACTTGGAAGCCCCTGCCCAAACCAGTTCACATTTTTCACTTTATAAGACTCCAGCCTCAGCACCTTTCTTCCCTTTTATCTCTAGTCCTTATGCCTTTCCTTTCCCCCACCTCAAAAACTCCTTGGAAAATGTGTATCATTCTGTTTGGAATTCACATAAAACAGGAAGAATGTGCCAAAACCAGTTTGGCTCAGTGGATAGAGCGTCAGCCTGTGGACTGAAAGGTCCCGGGCTCGATTCCGGTCAAGGGCATGTACCTTGGTTGCGGGCACATCCCCAGTAGGGAATGTGCAAGAGGCAGCTGATCGATGATTCTCTCTCATCGATATTTCTATCTGTAAAAAATCAAAAAAAAAAAAAAAAAAAAGGAAAAACAGTAAGAATGTAAAAAATTTCCCTCAATGAGATTTTTTTGAGATTGACCCTTCCCCTAAGTGACTATCCAGTCCCTGCCTTCTCTGTTGATCAGACACATCTGCCCATGCTCATCCCACCCCACCAGTCTCAGCTCAGGAATCCAGCATGGCCCGTTGGAAGGAATCGGATCTGAGGCCCAGCCTAATTTCCTCCATCTCATAGCTACTTGTGATTTCTCCAGTTCAACTAGGAAACTGGTACTTAGGATGGGTGTTGTTTCACTTCTAGTAGGTAGTAGAGCTGAATTCAAAGTCCAGACCTTATTCTTTTAAAACATTTTTATTGATTTCAGAGAGGGAGACAAACATCAATGTTGAGAACCATTGATTGGTTGCCTCCTGCACACCACCTGCTGGGGCTCAAGCCCACAACCTGGTCATGTTCCTTTGATTGGAATTGGACCTGGGACACTTTGGTCCACAAGCCAATGCTCTGTCCACTGTGCCAAACAAGCTAAGGCCAGTCTGGGACACCATGGCTCCTGACAATATAAATTTTAAAAAAGGGAAGTGGAGCTGAAACCAGTTTGGCTCAGTGGATAGAGCATCAGCCTGAGGACTGAAAGGTCCCGGGTTTGATTCTGGTAAAGGGCATGTGCCTTGGTTGCAGGCACATCCTCAGTGGGGGCTGTGCAAGAGGCAGCTGATCGATGATTTTCTCTCGGTGTTTCTCTCTATCCCTCTCTTCCTCTCTGTAAAAAATCAAAATATATTTTTTTTAAATGGAAGTGGAACCTGGCTGGTGTACCTCTGTAGTTGAGCATCAGTTTGATTCCCCTGTCAGTACACACGTCTAGGGTTGTGGACTCAATCCCTGGTGGGGGATGTACAGGAAGCAGCTGACCAAGGATTCCCTCATTTCTATCTTCTTCTCTCCCTCCCCCTTTCTCTGAAACCAATAAAAATGTATTTTTAAATGGGAGTGGAGGTCAAAATATAAATACAATCATGTCAGACCCCATTCTCTCCGTAACCAAAATGCCTTCCTAGGTGGTTTTTTGGGGATGGGGAGTAGGAGGTGGCATTAAAAAAACACATTGGTTTGTTCCACTTTATGCATTCACTTGCCGATTCCTTTATGTACCCTAACTAGGGATCAAACCCGCAACCTACCTGGCCAGGGCACCTTCCTAGGTTAAAAGTATAAATGTGAAATATTAGAAATAACCTTATGTACCAATGATAGTATTAAGTATGGTAGTCATTCTCTTAAAAAGTGGAAATTAAACTGACGAGCTATCTAGAAATTACAAGATTACTTGTATGCAGGGAACAGGGCAAGTGACTGAAGCTAGATAAGGGGATGGTATTTTATAATGTTGGACATTTCCCATACATATACAAAGCAAGCCGTACACATAATATAAACCGTGAAATGGAAAACACAGGGACTTCAGACTAGACTGGAACTCCAGGGGCAGATAAGGCTATGCCGCTTCTCAGGGCCAGGTCCAAAAGGATAGGAATCGTTTTGCTAGGGGTAACCAGTGCCCTATTGGGGGGGGGGGGGGGGGGGGATGGGAGGGGCAGGGGCTGCTGGCCTGTGAAGGGTTCCAAAAGCAGTGGCGGGAGTAGGCCAAAGCCAGGCACAGAAAGGCCTTAAAGACCATGTGAAGGGCCCTGTGCTGGTGGTATAGCAAGGCTGTTATGTCCTGTCCTACAGGCTGAAGGAGAACTACATTTTGCTAAGCACCGATGGCCCTGGGAGGAACGTCCTGAAATTTAAGCCCCCAATGTGCTTCAGCTTAGACAACGTAAAACATGTGGTGGCAAAGCTTGATGCCATCCTAACAGGTAAGCATAAAGCCGTGTCCAGCTGATCATATCCCTAGAATTCAACCCAGCAGCTACAATGGCCTAGTGTGCTCAACAGCTGGGCTAGGTATCCTCCAGACAATGCAAGAAGCATGGAGCTGAAGTGGAGAGGGGATCTTACTGGCCCAGGTCACTATTTCTGCCTGTGCCTGGTGGGGCTCCCCAAACACTTGGGAGGTGGGATCTGATCCAACCCCCAAGGGCTATGCGTGCAAAGCTCTGGGCAGGGGTGGCCCCCTAAATAGGTAAAGTCATATCTCTTGGCGATCAGAACCAATCCTCCCTGTCCTCCACCTCTGGGCTCTCACTTCTGCCCCCAGGGCTCCAGAGCTGAGGGCCAACCCCCTATACACAATTGGGAGGTGGTTTAAAACCTGCTGGATGAGGTGAGGCACAGAACTGGCTTAGGTTGCCTAGAGAGAAGCCTCTGGTTGAACTGGGGTTTTAGGAAACTTGATAGGCTTTTCCTCTGGGAAAATTGTTGCTGATCCTGTGGTTAATGCCACATACATATAGGTCAAGGGTAGGGGATCATGGCCCTATCCAGTGAGCCCAACTCCAAACTGCCATTCAAGCTTAGACACTGAAGGCTGGAGGGACCTTTAGCAGAAAAGAAGTGTTAACCAGTTTGGGTGGTTATGGATGTTTGGTTTTTGTTTTTTTCAGACATGGAAGGAAAGGTGAGAAGTTGTGAGACGCTAAGGCCCCAGCTCTGTGGTAGCCCTGCTGTGTAATGTCCTTTACTAGGTGAGTAGGCCACATCTGGGTTCCTGAACCGTTCTGTACCCCCCAGGAAACCAAGCCTTTTTTTGTGTGTTAAGTTTTGTTTCAGGTGATGTCCCCTTCCCATAGGATACTTCCATCATTGGGAGGCTCTGGCTAACTTGAGCTCTCTCCATCCTCCCCAGCCAGTTCCATCTAGGAGTGAGGGGAAACAAAACTCCTTTTCAGGCTCCGACCACCTAGACCAGTCCCACAGCCTGCTGCCTCCTCTTGCCACCAGACTTGAGGTGCTCCAATCCAGCAGCAAATAGGTGCTGCCAGAGTAGGCTATTACATTTCAGCCAGGAGGGGGCATCCTTGATTGTAGGTTCACTGTCCTGGAAGACAGAACCCTGTTTTAAGAAAGGTGTTCTAAGGTGTCTCAGAATCCCTGCTGCACAATCTTCACCCCCAAGAACAGCTGCCTTAAACCTCCAGCCATTTCCTTCCTTTAAAAGGGCCCAAGTCCTATGCACCGCATATCCCACACTCACCCAGGCTTGGGGATTTTTACATTTTTATTTCAAAAGCTTGGATAGCTTCAATATCCAGGTCGTGGCAAAATCAGGACACGTGTAAAATACCTTACAATACATTAGATTCCCAAAAGGTACCAAAAAGTACAGTAAAATTAACACTTCCATTACAGGAAATGTATGACACAAATAATATAAAATTAAAAGGTGAAAAAAGATGACACTGGTTTCCTAAGATAGACTTTTTTACAACCAGGGTCCACAGGTCCAGGATGCAGAGCGGCAGCAGGAAACAGACCCTCCCACCTGGTTCTGGGTAACCCAGTAATAAAATCAGCCCACAAAGCCGCTCTGGCCTCAGACACCACACGCTGCCTAAAACAACTAGAGCTCTGGAAATAGTAAACAAGAGAGTGATTTCCAGGGGGGAATTTTAAATAAGATGCACATGGGACAGGCCATAGAAAGTATGCCAAGTTAAATTTGGTACATAATTGTTTGTGTTCACTCAATATCCAAACAAAGCGTGTGCGGTCAGACGGGCACTCTTGCCGAAGCCTCAGTATGGCTTGTAGTTATTCTGATGGCCACCACGTCGCTGGCTCTTCCCGTAATTCGTACTACCCTGACCTAGGGACAAGAACAACAATGATAGCAGCTAGATTTATTGAACATTTATTCCTGTGCCAGGCGCTTGGCTCAAATCCTCACCAGAGCCAACACCCCTGGGGCAGGCTACAAAGCCCAGCCTGTCTGACTCCAAAAGCCCCTGCTGCCAGTGACCCCTGCACTTTCTGTCCTGCCTCCCAGGTGGGTGACTGGATGGGGCCGCCCTCTCTCCTACTTACTGTAGTCGTAGCCGGGGCCGTAGCCGTAATAGCCATAGGGCGAGTAGTCGTAGCCGCCATAGCCGGGCCCGTAGCCCTGCTGGTAGCCGTAGCCCTGGTTCCAGTAGTTGCCGTAGCCCTGATTCCAACTCTGACTCTGACCTGTGGGGGGAGCAGGGCACAGGGGCCCATGGACCATTTAGCACACGCAGGAGCTAGGATGGAGGAAATCCTGCCCGTTGGGTGGCGGGGTTACTATGGCAACTCAGAAGTAGAAGCCAAGGAAGGGGCTGCTGTCCTGGTATAACAGGGCCCTAACCTGACCCTGCACTTAGACCCAAGCTGCAGAGGAAGACAGATCGGAACCTAACTTCTCTCAGGGCCAAAGAGGCAGGAACTCATTCTCACTCAAATCACCCTCTGAATACACAAATCCTCTCTGGCAGCTTGGCCTTAAAAAAGATAGAGTTCAGGCTTTGGAGTCAGAGGGCCTAGGGCAGAAGGAGGTAAAGCGCCTGGCACAGCCCTGCCCTACCTTCTGCCCACCCACCCATGGGTGGACCAAGACTCAGGACAGCCACAGATGCCCATCAGGCCCCTCACCCCTACCCCGCAAAGTACAATACACATCTTCCGCTGCCCTGGGGCCCCAGACCACATGGGAAATATGGGCTCTTCCACTCCAACCAGCAGCAGCACAGCCCAGACCCAGGAGAGCCATTCCTGTCCCCGCCCACCCTGCCCCACCAGAGACCAGAATAAGCCCCCACAAGACAGGCATGGAAGCTCCATGCAGGCAGGGAAACCAAACCCATATTCATCCATGTTCCACTCACCTCCACCTCCACCACCACCACTGCCTCGGTTCCCTCTGTTGCGGTTTCCACGGCCCCCTGAGCCATACTGCTGCTGTTGATAGACTTTTCTGGGCAGAGCCACCTTGATTTCACACTACAAGCCAAGAGGACAGGAAGTCAGGCCACAGGGATAAGTTCTGGGGAGAGACTGTGCACAATGATCTTCATTTACCAACATTCAGACTTGGTCCATCTTCTCAATAATAAAATATGACAGGCTGTGAAACCACATTTGGGCTAGAAGCTCTGAGAACCGTAACTAAAACATACACCACCAAGATCCACATTAGAGCCTCTTTGGCTCAAAAGTTCCCCGAAACTGTAATGGGAATCATGGATACAAACCCAGGGTTAGGATAGCTCCGTGTTTAACAATTGTAATTGGAGAGGGACAGCAGGGCTAATGCCAGCTCAGTGTAGCAAAACAAACTGTCAGGTCTATTGCCACCTTGGTCCTAACTAGACAAGGTCGTCAGAGAATAATGTACACTTTCTGACTTTATTTTACTGTTTAACAGGCGAAAAATGAAGCATCCCACTCAAATGTATAGTGGCGAACCAGACTTCTGGAAGGAAGTTACTGAGGCTTAGGGCAGAGCTTGCCTGAAGCCAGACTGCTACCACTACCCCTCCCCCAACCACTGGTCTGTAGTTGGGATGGACCAAAAGCCCTATGTATGTCCCCCAGAGCCAAGTCAAGTTTCTGCTTAGCTCAAAAACCTGCCCATTGTGGGTGAAGTAGGGTCAGGAACCTTCCAGTGTTCCCACTGAAATAGAAGTGTATTTTTAAAGGTACGCTGAAGAACAACAAAATACAAATAAAACCCTGGCGGGTGTGGCGGTTGGTAGGATGTCTTCCTGTGCACTGAAGAGTTGCTGGTTGATTCCTGGTCCAGGCACATGCCCAAGTTGTTGGCTCAATCCCTGGTGGGGGTATGGAGGAGGCAGCCAATTGATTTTCTGTGCTCACATCGATGTTTATCTCCCTCCCTCTCTCTAAAAATCAATTTTTTTAAAAAAATTTTTAAGGGAGACATCTAATAAAAATTTAAAAAAAAAAACAAAAAAAAACCTCTCCCTTCCTAGCTTTCATGTCCCCCTTTATACTTACACCTAGACCATCCACACCCCAATGCCTTTGCCTTTCTCTCTCAAGTTCGAAGGGCCCTTTCTTTTGCTTTAACTTGTTTTCTAAGCTTACAAAGCCCAGCTGGCTCACTTCTACCTCTGTATCTTTCTAAATGAACTTTTTGAAAAAATAAAATAAAGCACCCTGACTCATACTCTGTCCCCAAAGACCAGTGAAAAAAACATCCACATAATCTGTCCCCATATAAGTCTACTCCTGTAAAACTGGCAAATTACCAGTGATATAATGTTTTCTACCCTACTGAATATACAACTAAATACAATTATTTCGAGACCCACTGCCAATAGTGCCTAGTGCTGCCCTATAGGCTCTTCCTGCCAATTTTTCATTATGGGGCGGGGGGGGGGAGACAGTCTATATCCCTATCCACTGGGCTAGCTAATGGATGGTCTTATGCAAATGTCCTGTAGGATCCAATCTCATTTTACATGAAATTTAAGAGTCCAATCCAATCTTTCCAAATTCCCAGCCAGGAGTACTAAAATTTTCAGGAGCCCCACCCTACCTGTCCAACTTTATCTGGCTACCACTCCACAGACAGCCTGCCACACCCTCAACACACAACTGCCACCTGAAAATACTTAAGCCATACTACCCTCTCTCTAGACCAGAGTTCAGGGTAACAGCTATCTTTCTCACTTCTGTTCATTTGAAGGCAAACTGGCCCTGAGTATAAATATAAATGAGCCAGGACCCTGGGGGCTCTTTGGGAAGGATCTTGCTGGGATAGATTTGAATAAACCAGTGTCCAAAGGGGATGGAGAATAAAGATTTGGTTTTGGCAGCAATGATAGGAGAAAAGCTCTGCAGCGGTTTCTATGGTAAACAGGACTTCACTGCCAGGGAAAGAAATCAGTGAATGGCAGAAGTTCCAAAATCATCTGAGAAGTGCAGATCTTAGACTCTAGATTCAGAACATCTTAATCTCTAGCTACTGTTTTTACTGTCAGGCTAAGAGCTCCTTGAAGGCCAAGTCTATCTGCCCCCCAATCAGGACAGCAGACCTGCAGAAAAACAATGAGGTTTCACTACCCTGGAGAGCCCTTGGAGGCAGCCCAACCTTAATTCACACCTGCAAGAAGCAGACCTCTCTTGGCAAGAGGCTAGACACACATAACTGCAGACACTTTACCTTACTTCCACTGATGGTGTGGAACTTTTTCTCTAGAACCTTCTTCACAGGTTCTTCTTCTTCTTTAAAGGTGATGAAAACAAAACCTCTTCTTTTGTTTGATTTTGGATCCATTGGAAGATCAATGGCCTCAATCTGTAAACACAGGCAAAAGCTCAGGACCAGTCCTCCCCAGGGCTCACGAAGACGGAGAATAAGTCCATAAAGCAGCCTCACTGAGGCTGTCTGACAAGGACCAGGAAAGCCACCTCAGGGCAGATGGCAGGCCACTCACCTCCCCAAACTCGCCAAAGTACTCTCTGATTTTCTCCTCAGTGGCTTCAGGATTCAGACCCCCCACAAAAATTTTCTTTACAGGCTCCTTCTTCATGGCCATAGCCTTTTTGGGGTCAATGACTCGGCCATCCAGTTTGTGCTCCTTCTGATCGAGGACCTGTTCCGACAGAAGGAAGCTGGGTTCTAACTCAGCAGCACAACTCTCCAATGCTCTTCTCTTTGAGCCATGGAACCCCAAACACAGATACACAAAATGTTTCATCCCCTCCAAACTCTAACCCCAACCTGACTTTCCAACCCGACTTAACAACCCAACCATCAAATGTCAAGTACAGCTAGTTTACCTGTAAATCAGTCCTCACCACCCCGACTTTTCCTATGTTATCCTGTACACCCTCTTCCTGCCTCGGCAGTTCCGTTTAAAGCAGCAGTGACTGAAGGAAAATGGGCTGCTTAGGGTCAGAATCCTTACTCCACCACACTTAGCCACCTGTGTGAGCTTTTCTACTTAAACTTCTGAACCTTAGCTTGTTTTCTGCAAAATGAAGCTAAAATAATGCCTATCTCATAACCTAGGACTCTCCTCCAGTCCTCACAGTAGTTTGCTGTGTCCAGAATAGGCAGAAGGTAATAAATGTCCATTATCATCTTCCTATGCCACTCCAGCCCACTCACTACCCTACTAAACCTTTTTTCAAGAACAGGAACAAGGATCTGTTTTTCTCAAAGCACTCAACCAAGTCCCCAGCTTACCTTCTCCACACTAGCAGCATCTTTGAAGAGAATAAACCCAAATCCTCTTGACCGGCCAGTGTTGGGATCCATTTTTATTGTACAGTCAACGACCTCTCCAAATTTGGTAAAATAATCCTTTAGGTCTTTTTTGCTGGTATCCCAGCTCAGGTGACCAACAAACATTTTTCTGAAATGGTAGGGTGAGACACATAGCAACAAGTCTTATAAGAAAGCTGTGATTTTAGGACTGGCCCTAGCAAAGCTTTCACTGAGAAAATCAGAAATAAAGCCACAATCTGGAACAAGACTATCCTTTGAGCCCCTAAGAGCTCCACCTTTGGAAAATGTTAAATCTTTACTACCCTCCCAAACTCAATCTTGACTATAAGCAAGATTCAAGAGACGGCAAACCCTGACTGGGCTAGGGAAAGGAAGGACAACCTGGCCAGAGGCACAGGCTCTGAGCGCTCACAACTGAAAGCAATTTGTGTAACAACCAGATATCAAAAGGCTACCGTCTCGGCCACTTCCGAATATTGGCTCTCAAGGAACTAGCAGCTTCCGGGTGCCAGACCGTAACCCCGCCCCCGGTAGGAGGCGGAGGGAGGACGACACGGCCCGGGCACGCGCCAACTCCGCCCTCGCAGCCCCCGCGCGGCCCAGACCCGCTCGGCCCCAGGTCCCGGCTCACTCCCCTTCCGGGCGCCCGGCCCGGCCCTGGCGCCGCGCGAGAGGCCCCGGGGCGGCGCCAAAATCGATCCAACAAACTCCTACAAACTCGAGCGCGAGCGACGGCAAAGCGGGGCGGCGCGGAGAACAAGTCTGCGGCCCGAGCCGCCCGGCAGCCCGCCCCTCCCTCCGCCGCGTGGCGCTAACAAAAGGCGGCCCCGGAACAAAGGCGGCGTCCTGCCGGCCCGCGGCCGCACCTACCCCGCGTCCTCCTCTTCCTTGCTGGCGTTGATCTTGTCGCCCTCGGCGCCGTTCTGGTTGCTGGCCGGAGGTGCCGCGCTCCCGCCTCCAGCGCTCGCCGCGGCTCCGCTGCCCGGCCCGGCCGGCGACTCGCCTTCGGGGGCGGCCTCGTGCCCGTTCTCGGTGGCGCCCGTCGTCTCCATGAGCTGCTCCTCACCGGTTTCCGACATTAGACCGGAGCGCGGCGGCTCCTGCAACGAGCGGCCACAGCACGTCAGGCCCGCGCGGCTCCCGCCGCCTGCCCCCCCGCAGCCCGCGGCCCGGACGCTCACCTCGCCGCCGGTGACGCCGCGAGGCCCGCTCGTCCCCACCCGCCGGGAAGGTGCCGCGAGGCTCCGCCTTGCTCAAGGCTCGCACTTCCCGGTCTCCCCTCCCTCCGCCAACGGAGCTGCCACAACTTCGCGCGCTTCTCCTCGACCCCCGCTGCACGGAACCCACCGCCCAAAAGACTTGCTTAGGCCCGCACTGTACCGCCGCCTGACAATGCCGACTCGTGGCGCTCTTTATAATGCCGGAGCCGGGGCGCCGACCTCGCAACAAGACGCATGCTCACTGGCTGTTTCCGCCCGTCACTCAACCGTGCGCCGGCGTCCTATTGGCCACGTCGGCGCGCGCACGCTAGATCCGGGCGGGCTTTGTCCTCATTTTAGAACCCGCGCGAGCCTGGGCCCTGCGGAGCGTTGCCTGATTGAACGACGTCCCAGCCCTAGGCTGAGAGGCCCCAGACATACCTTCCGCCCCGTTAGGCCGCAGTCTCTCTTCCCGGTGCCCCCACTCCCAGCACTGACAGTCTCGGCCACTTCATTTCCCCAAAGAGGGAAGTAGGTTCGAACAAGTCTCACAAACCAAGATCACCTGGCTGGAAGTGGCAGAATCCGGGCTGCCGAGCTTGGCGCTTAGGGTCCCCCAAGGTCCTCGGCTCGGAGGGACTGCGACGCAGATCGCCCTCCCCTTGACCTTGGTGCCCTCAAAGCCCCTCGCTCCCGCCCTTTCTGCCGCCTCCGCAGCAGGGAGACGCGGTTTGGGGAGGAGTCCTGCAGAGATCTGGTGCCTACCATGCTGACTAGGATGCGGAGAGAGAAACGGTAGAACCATGGTGTTCTCCAATCAGGTCGCCCAACACCACCTTGATTAGCATCGCGTTTATACTTTTGATTACTTAAAATTTTTCATTTAAATTAACTCACTAATTTTTACTGAAATTTAAAATAAAAACATTCCACTAACATTTTCAAAATCATGATGTCGGGGGTTGAGGTAGTTAGTTCTCTTTTTCCTAATATACAAAAACCCTTAATATCTCCTTGACAACCAAATTTAAAAGGCCTGCATAATCCTGCGATTCCTTTTAATCATAGAGGTGAAGGGCCCCAAATGCACCAAGATCACAACCTCTGAAGCCTGGAGATTACCAATAGCACAGCACAGAACACAAGTAGCTGACCCGCTGGATTCGTGCAGCCGGATCCAGCGTGGCGGGCTAGGCCTTCTATTTTCTGATCTAATCTCATAACAGCCCTGTAAAAGGTGGTACCATCGTCAATTTATAAATGAGAACACTGAAGCCCAAAGCCTTGGGCCATGGTTTACTCCCCAATCCGGCCAGCCAATGAGTTGCTATGAGAATAAAAAATGTGACAATTTTACACTTGGAAAAAGTAATCAACTTCAGAAAATCAAGATTTGGCCACACAGCACTACATTCCCCCCAAGGTATCAATCAACTAGAACTGGGCATCCACCACCAGATGAGCAAATGCCCGCTGGGTCACCCCGAGGCCCACCTGACCACTTCAGACTCCGTTCCATAACTGGAATTCATGTAAATCCATAAAACCTCGGTCATACACTGACCTGGCTTGCAGTGAAATCTAGAACAAACTCACCACACCATCTCCACCTAAGCCCTCACTCACACACACACAGACATAAGGACCAGGGATGTGACTCACAGGAGATGATGGGTACAGGTACCCAAGCAAACTATAAAGAACTGCAGACCTGTGGGTATATTGCATCCAAGGGTATATCTGACAGAGGCAGAGGACTGGGATGTTGGAAGAAGCAGAAAGTCCCTTTGACACAAGGATCTCCACTTATTATTGTGTCCCAGCTACAGAACGAGAGTAGAGGGCTTCTTCCATGACAGTGAGGTTCTCAAATCAACAAGGAGCCCAGGCTGTCAGGTAATATATGTATACAAATGTGTACAATCATCAGTCTAGAATAAAGAGGACAGGCACAAAATACATTTTTAAAACTATCTAATACATGAATTCATTTTTCTCACAATCTTTTTTTTTTTTTTTTTTTTTTTTTTGGCTGAGCCTGCGAAATGGAAATTGCAGGAGTTAACTACAAATAATGACGTGACTGCAGTGGCCAACTCCGACGCAAGCCACTGCCTACTCAACTCCCCGAGCTCCAGCTCCTCCACTTCAGGGCTAACTCTGGCTCCAGCCGAAGGAAACTTTTTAAAACCAAGTCAGATCTTGTCACACTGTGTGAAAACCCTGGCTGGCTTCCCACCACTACGAGAATGAAATCCTAACCTTGAATAAGATTGGGGTGAGATGCCGGGACCGGTTTGGCTTAGTGGATAGAGCGTCGGCCTGCGGACTGAAGGGTCCTGGGTTCGATTCCGGTCAAGGGCATGTACCTTGGTTGCAGGCACATCCCAGTAGGGGTGTGTGTAAGAGGCAGCTGATTGATGATTCTCTCTCATCGATGTTTTTAACTCTCTATTCCTCTCTTCCTCTCTGTGAAAAATTAATAAAATATATCAGTTAGGGGTCACAGAAATCCATGCCTCGCCCAAATACCTCCTTGCTGTATGGTCTGTGAGTGGAAGGGTCACTTCTGGACCTGGGCATAGAGGCCAGCCTCCCCCAGACCTCCCTTCCCCTAGAGACCATGTGTTCTGATGGTAGAGCTACATTATGGAAAGCTGCTCAACCCATGTCACACTTGCCATGAGCAAGAAAGGAATCTCTACTGTCAAGTTACTAAGACAGGGGGTTTATCTCTAATTGCAGCCTAGTCAAGCCTAACCACTCCACTGGACTTATGAGGCCTGGCATGAGCCACCCCAGCCACACCTAGTGCCCACTCTTCACTCTGGCTGTGCTGATTTATTTCCTAGAACTCACCTGCACCCTTCTGGAAGTACCTTTGCACCTGCTGTTCCCTCTACCTGGAATACTCTTCCCCAAGCTTCACTTGCCTACTCCACATATATGTGTGGGTTGAACTGTGTCCCTTCCAAAAATATGTTCAAGTCCTAACCCCTGGTACCAATGCATATGACCTTATTTGGAAACAGGATCTTTGCAGATGTAATCAAGTAAAGATGAGGTCAAACTGGAGTTGGTGGGCCTAGAATTGTGCCTTATAAGAAAAGATACCCAAAGCCACACACAAGGAAAATGACATATAATGACAGAGGCAGAGATTGGAGTGATGTGTCCACATGTCTTGGTCAAATTCAGGCTGCTAGTACAGATTACCACACACCAGGTAACTTAAATAAACATTTACTTTTTCTCACAGTTCTAGAAGCTGGGAAGTCCAAGATCAAGGCACTGGCAGACCTAATGTCTGATGAGAACCTGTTTCCAATTTGCATACGGCCATCTTTTCACTGTGTCCTCACCTGACAGAGAGGAAAGAGAAGGGAGCTCTTTCTGGTATCTTTTTCTTTTCTTTTTTTTTTTTTTTAATATATTTTATTGATTTTTTTTTCAGAGAGGAAGGGAGAGGGATAGAGTCAGAAACATCGATGAGAGAGAAACATCGATCAGCTGCCTCCTGCACACACCCCACTGGGAATGTACATGCCCTTGACTGGAATCGAACCTGGGACCCTTCAGTTCACAAGCTGACGCTTTATCCACTGAGCCAAACCAGTTAGGCTCTGGACTCTTCTTATAAACTCACTAATTGCAACATGAGGCCCTACCCCCATGACCTCATCTACACTTAATTGCCTCCTAAAGGCCTGACTTCTAAACACCATTACCTTGGAGACTGGGTTTCAACATATGATTTTTTTTAAATATATTTTTACTAATTTTCAGAAGAAGGGAGAGGAAGAGAGAGAAACATCGATGATGAGAGAGAATCATTGATTGGCTGCCTCCTGGGGATTGAGCCCATAACCCAGGCATGTGCCCTTGACCAGAATCTAACTCTTCAGTCTGCAGGCGGACACCCTATCCACAGAGCCAAACCAGCTGGGGCTCCATATATGATTTTGAGTCCATAGCACCAACCAACACCAAGGATTGCCAGCCGCACCAGAAGCTAGGAGAGAGGCTCCCCACCAGAGCCTGCAGAGGGAGTGGCCCTGCCAACACCTTGATTTTGGACCTTTGGTCTCCAAACTATAAATTTCTGTTGTGCGCCACCCAGCCAGTGGTGCTTTGTTACAACAGCCCTAGCTGACTAATACAACATCTGTCAGACTTCTGTTTCCTCCAGGAAGTGGTCTGTGATGCCCCAAGGAAGTGCCCCTCTCAGAGTAGGGACCACACAGTATTGATGCCAACCATAAGCTCAATGTGTTCCTGCATTAGGTCTGTCCCCTTGACCCTGACACCTCCAGGGCACCTCAATACCTGCAGAATGAATAAAAGATCTCTTGACCTAGGGTTACTAACTGGTTCCTTATGGTCTCAATCTGGCTCAGATGTGCTTGCTTGTCCTGCATAGCATTTTCAACATCTTAAATTATTTACCAACATTTATGAAGTATAATATTTCTAAAAAATGTTCTATTTCCATTTACTTTTGGAAAATTGTTAGATGACATAGTCCCACATATCCACAGAAGCTTAATGGAACAGGTGTCATCCAGTTCACCACAGCCCCCACCAAGTCCTGTCATCTTACTCCTGGGCCCCTAAATTAATTTTCATTGGTGGAAAGCATCTCAGGTGTCAGTCCCTAACTAGGCCCCATGAAGCTCAGCTTCTCCCATCTTTCAAACAGTGATGACAACACCTGCCTCTCAGCACTGCTGCAGGGATCCGAGAATGTGTGCCAAGTGCCTGGCAGGTAATAGGTAGAAATGAGAGGCGCTAAGACTAGTACCAACACTAACAAACAGAAGCATCCAAGGGAAGACTCCGCCTCTGCTGAGCTTCCCCCTACTATGTCTCAAATCAATTCT